CCGAGATTGGAATCCCCCGATTCGTTTTCGATTCCGTCCGTCGAGGCCGGCCTCAAAAAAAAAAAAAAACAAAAATGAAGGAAAGGAATCTTGGGCGTAGAGGATTGCGTGATGGAAAAAGCTTTACGAGGGTCGGTCATGTGAGGACTAATGTGATCAATAACCCTCTCCAATCTCGTCTCGTCCCTTTTAGGTCTGCGACTCGTTCATGCCTCCGCGGTTCTCCATGCATGATGTAGATGAATGATGCAAGGCCGAGAGATGTTAAACCTCGCGTGAGCCTCCTTCGGCCGTAAAGTTCATGAGATACGGCGTGGAAGGACCGCCGGACCGAAGTGCCCCGCTGATCGAGGATCGCAGTGACTGATGGCAGGTGCGTGAATGCGGACGTCATGTTTGCGCTGGGGGAGATTCCTCGTCGTTTCCTCGTTTATTCCTTTCGACTCCTGTGATCGCCGACTCGCCGAGCTGCACTCGGCATGCTCCTCTATTTCCGTGAATTTGCCGACTCGAACACGCACCGTCCGACTGGACCATCTTTCATTCGATCGTATCGGCCTTAACATATGGCCGTCCTGTACGTCTCGGACTACTCACGAAGGAAACAAAGAAAATGGCACAATGGATTTTGAAACGTGTTGCAAACATCTCTTGCAGAAAAACTGAAGAAAAAAAAAGCTCTGGGCATGGAAACCCAAGCACATTGGCATGACTCTCTTAGGATTGCGAGCAATGCTTAAGGTAGATGTCAGACAAATTCGTATTGTATATGTTTAATACTAATAAAATATGAAACTCATATGCGGATGCGCCAGTAATATGAAATAATTTCGAAGTGTGCAAGTACATACGTACGGGAACTATGGATTTCGGCAGAACGTGCAGAATGTGCCTTAATTGCAAAAAATGACTGCTCATCGATCACCATATGTTGGTGTTGAAGCAAGTATTAACAAGAAACACCGAAATCCTGACAGGAGTTCATTCGAGCTCCGTGTCGACTGGACGCACTAAAATCCATTAGCGCTGGTTTCGGTGATAATCGCAAAGGCTAACACATGCTTCAGTCGAAAGTGTGAGCAAACAGAGTGTAAGCGCCAGCATGTCCTTCTATCAAACCCGATTCGACTTGCGACGATGCGACGATGCACCGGCGAAGGTGCCAACATTAGAGATGTTATCGTGGCTGAATCTCGCACGTCCCTGATAGGCTGGGAAGAAAAAATCTGGAACGGAAGCGGTACCTCCTCCGTGAGAGCGCTTCTATCGATTGCATACGGCGACACCTTGCGGACGGGCGGTCAAATATTAATAGCGTCCGTCGCAGGACTTCCATCCCCGATTTTCCGAGTCCCGCACGGCTGCCGGCTACGGAATCTCTCGGGCTCGTAACAGGGGAAGATTCAGATCTGGCCGATCTCGTTACCGCTTAAAACAGGGGTGTGCAACCTTTATCGGCGGTGGGCCGCATCGAAGCGTCTGACTCTTCACGCTGGCCATAGAATGCAAAAGTAAAAGGCTCCCTTCTTTTGACCTGAGGGCATGAGCTCGCGCCGATCGGCCGATGTCACTTACCCCCGTCACACCCCCTAACAAATTCCAAAGCCCAAAATTAGCCTTTGGCATCGAGAACCTTCTTTCTCGAGACAATACGTTGCGCCCCGCGTGAGGAAAAATTAGGGGAAGGAAGCGAAAGGACTCGGTCCATCTCTAGTTTAGTTACTAAGGGATGATCGAAGCTGTGATGGGCCTTGAGCCGCAAAGAAACTCATTTTATCTTTTATCCTAACGTGCATCACCGGGCCGCAAGAAGCAGGTCCAGGGGCCACATACGGCCCAAGGCCCAAGGGTTAATCCCTGGCTTAAAACATGATACGTACGATACTGACGATGCGATTCTGTCTCTCTCGTACATCAGGCTTGGGAGCAGATGGTTTCTGCCAACGGAAATTTTCACGGAAAGGATTGCATTCCTTTTCGAACGAACGTTTTCACCGAGGACGTTAGGGTTTCTTACGGCTAACAGAAAGGTCAACAAAGGCAGTATATCGACAGAACGAGGTATATCGACGAGAAACGGAGAAAAGAGAGTAAAGAAACACTTCGAGAAAGAAAAGTGGGCAACAACAAAAAAATGAAAACGAGAAAAAGGAATATCTCGAGGGGAAACGGAACACCGACCGTATAACCACGAAAGCCAGAGCCTCGAGCCCCGCACCTGCGACTGCCAACGTCTCACCTCGTCGACAGCAAATCCGTTCATTCCCTCCGAATCCAAAAGTTTCCGCTGTTTCCCGCTGGGGGATCTGCCGTCGACGCAGACGATTTTCCATCGTTATGCCGAGGAAGAACGACATCCCGAGAGGCGAAGAATCTCCCTCCGCTTTTAGAATTATTGTTTTCACCAGGAAATGGAAACGCATTTTCTTCTGCTTTGTCCGTTCCAAAAGAGCAAGAATCACCAGCTTAAAATCCCAGCCGGAAGCAGCCATTACTTCCAGCTAAGCCAAATCTGTAATCTCAGACCCATTTCGGCCGGGAGAAACAGCTGGAAAAGAAAGCCGAATCCGGGTTGGTTCCCTGCTGGATAGAGAATGGCTTTGTTAAATATTTTCTGTCCTACAGCAATCGGATTGCAACAGTAAATTCAGTCCTATTCTTGCTGAAGGATCTCCCGTGTAAAATTCCCACTGGAAATTTCCAACCGTGAATCGATAATGATCTAGTGTTTTACAACTATTTCTCATTTGAAATGGGTCTAAATTTACAGTGGTCCAGCTGGAAAATTCAATTTAGTATTTTCAACAGGGCAATCATCCAAGAACCGTGCCGGGGAGCAAGCATGACATCTAGCGGATCGTCTGGAAATGCTGCTTTTTAAAATTAATTCTCCGCAATGTGAGGGCGGTACCAATTCAGTCCGAAAGCAGGGGGCATAAGGTTTAGGCCTACACTAACCTGTGGGTTGTCTGAGGGCAACCAGGCATGGCATCATGAGGATTCTCCGTCTCTACTCCCCTCGATCGCGAAATCGCGCCAATAATTGTCGATTTCAATTCGATAGGCCGATTTCTAGGTACCGTTGTACGGAGAATCCATTCTCGGGGTTTCTCACGCGAGTCGACTCGGGGTGTCAACTCTCGAGCTAGTGTTTGAAGGAGAAAGTGAGCACCGAGACGAACGCGAGGCCCAATAAGAAACATCAACTCCTACTTTCAATCGACCTTTTCCACCGTATTAAATTTCCACTTGAAGCTGATCCATGGAGGAATGACCGGACTGGATGACAAGATCGGAAACTGCAGAAGAGCCGGAGGGACAGCTCGGTGTCGTTCGCGACCGCACGTCTCTGCAGTTCTCCTACACTATTCTGCATAGCTAATATGGCCGATTCCAACAAGATGGTGGGCGAGTGCGCATGATGGAGTGTTAACACTCGGATCGTTCGCACCGGATCGGAACGTGATGGCAGTCGAAGCACGAAGGCAGCCATCTGATCCCTGTCACCTCTCATGCATTCGGTACGTCTCGGCATTAAATCGATGAACCGATGATGAACTTCCAGTTCGAGCGATGTCAAATATTAGCATCGCCACCTTATGATTCGATTATGGTAACGAAGAATACAAATTAAGAGATTCCTATGAGAGAATGAAGTACCGAGATGATCAAGACTGATTACACTGGGATGGCATGGAGCTGCTGCACTGTTGCCAAGGGCAATCATAATTGGTTGCACAAGTGGAGCTGCAACGGTCCCTATGGAACACGAGAGCGAAAAAAGAAACTGCTCGAAGCTCGGAAATATCCTGGAGTTAAAATGCGACATAGGAGTTCGCAGAAGTCCATGACGTCAGGACGAGCAGGCGACTCCTCCGCTCGTTAACTTTGCCCCGATCGGTCGACACGGTGGAGTCGTCTGCTCGCTGCTTCACATCGTGGGGAAAATGGGTTTCAAGTTTTCAGTGATAAGAGACTTCGTTGCACGTTGACGACTTCCTCGAGGAAAAGCGGACCGGCGGCACGCTTTTTCTACTGAATTCCCCTTGGAAAATGTGTCGTTGATGACGGTTCCATTAGTAAGGTGATCACCACTACATTCGTACTTAAAAAAAAAAAACTAAGATTCGACTTCGAATCAGGAAATAGAGCTAAAAAGCCCGGAACGAACGCAGTTGCATTGAAGCAATCGAGTGAACCCACCGAAACACGTTTTGTCACCGAGTCATCGGGAAGATCCACTAATGCGATTGGTGAAAACTTTTCGCCCTTGAGGTCGCGAGAGCGTATCGGCAAAATTGGGTAAGGAATGTCCACACACTCGGTCATTGCTTACATGCATGGGGATGATCGGAATTCAATAGACGCCAGGTAGAGCCTTTATTTTGCATAATTAACAGAAAAATAAAGAGTTTTTATTATTAGTATTCTGTTGTGTGACCCTTAGCTGCAGTAGCATTGAGACACGTTTTGACTGCGTCAATCACGAGATAGTTGGTTTCTTTCGAAGATGGCCATTCTACTCTGATCACCCTCTGCATTTGCTTCTTCTTGCGCTGCCCTGCCTCAAAATCCGTTCTGGAAATGCTGCTAAATAGGAACGGGATTCATTCCGCAGACGATGACGCACAAGGACATCGCTGGTTTCCCTCTCCCCCCCCCCCCCCCCCCCCCCCCCCCCAATATAGTAAAAGGGGCCACTTTCTAGTGATGCCAAGTCCTTCCAGAATTGCGTCGATCAAAATTGCATGGGGTGAGCAGTCTGCAAAGATGGATCACCGAATAATCAATCACCTTAGAGGGAAGGATGAACTAAACCGAAATTCCGATTCGCGGGGTCTCCCAGTCCCCGAAGAGAGAGTCGCAATCGCTTAGATCATGTCCAGAGTCAATGTTTACCTTGTGGTCCACAACTTTCAGAGGATCCTCGCAATGACAGATTTTTGGCACCATCGATCGAGTGCTTCCGTCGATTCCGTTTCTTCTTTTTTTTTCTTTCTTTAAACTCGATGGTAGTTGTAGAATTGGCTCTTGGGATGAATCCGGCCGTTGGCTTTAACTTCATTTCTCGACCGATTCTTTTCGCAAAACTTTATTTCGGCCTTTGGATCGATGAAGATGCGATCCACTCGGAAGGCACGAGTGAAAAGCAGGCAGACTTCGAGGGAGGCCATTCTCGAAGTCCTCCTCCTCCTCGAGACGGACCCGATCCAACGAAATGGAGACGATGCCAGAGCGGTGACTGCCGCCAGACGGTCGGCAACAATCGCAGTCGGGCTCGTCGGCCATCCGGATGCGTCGTCAGACGGATTTCTGAGTCAAATATCACCATCAGAAATGGCACAATGGAGATGAGGAGATGAGCAAATGAGAATTGCCCACATATGACGACTCGCTTCCTTCAGCGACGGAGCAGAAGTTCTGCCTCTCGCGCGCAAGTTACGTCGTCTCGTCTGACTCTGGAGTGCTTCATGCTCATGTTTGAGAAAGGGAACCCCATGATGAACTCACCTGACTCGCGGCCATTCATCCTCGAACAAATGGAATCCTCGAGGAGGAGATGGCTCTTAGACTTATTATCCATTAACGAGGTGACAAACAGGGCATGCATATTTTATCCTCTCCCAATATCGTCCCTCCTTCCTGTGGATGGGAGTGACAGCCTGTCGCACTCGAGCCGACATATCGCAGCCATCGATATTATTTTTTTTTTCCCTCCCTCCTCTGGGGTTTTACTTATTCCTTATCGCTTGCACTTTTCCAGCTGCTCCCTGGGCGGCAGACGGGACGAACAGACGAAGACGAAGAACGGATCAACATGTGAAGGACCGAGGACGAATAGAAAGAGCAGTATCTCCCGTTTTCGAGAGATAAGGAAACCATTCTTCCTCCACGTCACTTTGCATTCTGCTTCCCCACAGCGAGCTTATCAGCGAGGATATCGAGGCTCCATAATTACATTTGAGATTGCAGTGGAACGGCGTCTTCGACTCGGCCTCAAGCCATTTCATGCAGTTTCAACTCGCAGGCTCAAACGCCATTCGGTGCACTTCTTGCAGGGTATTCCATACATGAACGCAAGGAGTTGTTTAATTGATTTAGGAGATGGGAAGCGAAGAACCCGAAACCGCGATGGTCATATACCCGGCATCCTTGAGTCTCTGAGTGGGTTATATCGAACAGGGGAAAGAAGAGTAGTTGGGAGGGAAATTAGTAGAGAGCTGAGGGGGAGCCTGTGCACGTACGTCTTCCAGCCGGCAAACAAGGAGCTGTCGAATGCATCCAGGGTTATTCTTAATGCCTTTCTAGGGTAGACGGGAGAGAGATCCATCTTTTACTTAGTTCCACGTTACGAAACTCGGGATTCTCTGTTCGTATCCGAGCCGTGAAAAGGCTCGGAGAGAGATGGTTTTAAATAGGAGGGAGAGGAGAAGACTCACCCGTTGCCCTGATTGGCCTGGACCAGGGGGATGCCTCCGTGGTAGCAGAGGAGGGTGGCGAGGGAAGCAACGTGCATCATGCAGTTCACTGCCCTACTCATCCCTGCAGGGCTCTTATTTTCCGTCTTTCACCTCATAGTCTGCTGCCGTGAAACGAGGGTGATGACAGGAGGAGGAGAGGGGTGAGGGGATGAAGGCGTAGTCTAAAGTGGGAAGAAGAAGAAAATCCCGGAGGTTGCAACGAAGAGACGGGAGCGCGCAACGGCAGGGAGGAGGAGCCTGGGCAGCCTCCTCCTCTCCTATCGATTCGTCGGAACCCTAGCCCTAGCCCTAGCCCTCGCCCCGAGCCGAGGCCCTCTAGGGTCTCCATGTCTAAAGCCAAGTTTACCCCTGCACCAGCTCTCAGACGAGACCATTTCCCGGGCTCTTATCTCGCCAAATCCGAACGAAGCCCCCCCATTCAATTGATTGTGGGAAACAGAGAAGGATGTGGCACAAATTTCTCTCTTCTCTGACAGACGCGTCACATCCATCTCCTTTAATGCTCCTTCTCGGACACATTCGGGGCAGGTATATTGCCGCTCTCTGTCTTCTCCGAGGGACGCACAAAGACCTGTGGCGACAACACAGCTCGCATGCCAACAGGAATCACTATCTAAAAACGCTCGATCGTGCGATCGTTTCCATCCTCGCAACGACGACAGCCACGTTTTACGCGACCTTTCGTTCTCTCTCGCGTCGCTCGTCCCGGATCTTCTCTCTTCTCGTTTAAGATCCACGGCGGCGAAGAGACGAGAAGCGATGACGTGGGACACGCATCATTTTTCGCAGTCGGACCGCGTAACTGATAGCGACAAGAACAGGACATAAACGTCACCGTTCGTTCGACCGGAGCCAGTTCATCTCCTTTGTAGATCCGGATCGGCAGTTTTGGATCGGCCTCCCCATTTACTCCGAAAGATCAATGAGAAGATTTTTCGGAGGGCATTAAAAGAGCAGTCCCATGAGGTAATCTATAGGGATGGGGAAGGGGGGCAAGGGGGGAAGGGGGGAAGGGGGCAAGGGGGGAAGGGGGGAAGGGGGGGGGGGGAGAGCTCTGGGGAAAAGCTTCGGCACGCGAGGTCTTCGCCATCCTTTTCCGTCGATTCCGATACGGTTTAGCGCTTCTGGCCTTCTTGGCTTAGGCCTGGATATCTCATCAATGGCACTAAATCCTTGCGATATATATTCGGAGCTTCACCTGCTCTCTCCCCTTTCCGTCTGTTTATGGATCACGCCAGAATAGGAATATAAATTCGTATCGACACCGTATTTTAATCTCTTTCGACTGGGCCCACGCTCTCGTTCCCCTCGTATTAAGTTTTATTTCCTCTTTCTCGTCCTATCGCCGTCGAGAAGGGATTTCCAAGTTCCCTCGCGACGCCCGAGCCACTCCACGTCGCGACGGAGGGTATGCCAGCATTCCATCCGTCGATGACCTGGATTCCGCAACGTTTGCAAGTATGATGCCGATCCCTGGTCGACGCGAATGACAATGATGACGGCCGGGGGACGGGAGAGAGCCGGTCTAAAAGAAATGGAAAGCATCACGCGAGATGTTCGCCAAAGGAGACGTCGCTGTGCACGTTGGAAATGGAATTCAAAGAAAGAGAAGGGAGAGGGAGCGAAAAAAAAAACGGAAAGGTTCTCTTTTTTCAAGTGGACCTCTGAGGAAATTGGACGAGAGAAAAGGGGAAAAACGAAGAAGAAAGAAGGAGCAGTGGATTTCTCTCTCCTTTTCCCTCGGATGCGAGCGGAATGCAGGAAGAAGGTTCGCCACAAACGCTTCCTCTTGGGAATGTGACCTTCCTCGGTTCATGCCCTTTGGCCTTATTGCTCCCCTCCATTCACTCTTGATTGCGTTTCCTCCATTTATTCCTCTCCTCCCCATGCTCGTCAGGTTCCCCTCGTTCGATCGTCCCGGCTCGGCTTTAATAAGGAGCCGTGAAACGTGTGGAGGGGATGCGTACGGATTCTGTGTACGGATGACGGAATCGGGGAAGCGAGAGTCGAGAAGAGTCGAGTGTCGACTGGAAAGAGGCCAAGAAACGGAAATGGGGCAAGATGGACATTGCGCATATCGGGCATGCATGACAGATGGGTGGAAAAGTGGAACGGATTCCTCACTTGGCCCCACTCGAGCATCGACTGGAGAACCCCAGACGTCGTCTTATTGATGAAGTGCAGAGAAGGCATCGTTCCCTAATCGGCTCGTTAGGGACACTTCCATTAATCACGGTCTTCCCTCATTACCGCCATCGCGAGCCAATACCGATTCCATCCGTGACTGGTAGGTGCAGCATAACTTCATCTCGAAGATTCGACCTTGTACCATTGGCTCTCGGGAGGAGGAAAGTTCATTAGTCGGGATAGTAATGCGGTTCCGAATCTAGTTACATGTAGCAAGGGGTCAGGCCTTAATGTCTTTAAATCTAATTACAGAGGGAATGATGGCCGGACCGGGATCCTCGATCAAGCGAGACAAAGAATCTTTCCTTTCCCTCTCTTCTCTCTATTATATACGAAATTATCTCCCGGGACGATACCGCTGTCCTCTCCTCCTCCGCTCTGCATATCCCGCGATCGTCGTGATGAATTTGGAGAGTCTCTCTCGCGGAACCAGAGGAGAAAAGGGGGAGGATGCATCTTTCCGAGCCATTAATCCTTCCAGCAGGCCTAGCCCCATCCCCATCCCCGTTCCCGTCGATGGAGTCTGGATGCGTGTGCAGATGGCTCTGTGGAGTAAGCGTAGACGATAGAGTGAGGCGGAAGGGACGATTGCTTTTGGCTTCCGCGCCGAGAACACTGACCCCATGCTGGGGATCCAAGCATCTCTGCTTTTATGGATCCCGCAACCTCACGTCGTGGAGCAGGAAGGAGCCAACGGGCTCGCGGTCGTCGGGTGTCGGGTGTGTTCATTAATTCCTCTTTGCACAGGGATCGCAATGAGTTTGGGAAACATCGCATCGACGAGAACGAAGCGCCTCTTCATTACGCAGACCACCGCGGTATGAATAATTCATGCCCCTTTCAAAGAGTAAAGAAGGATGCCTGTTAATCAGCCGCCTCCTGTTAATCAGCCACCTCTTGCAAAATGACTCGGCTCGTATCTGCCCCGCTGTGTGCCTCGTGCCCGCGGAGAGAAGAGAGCTTTTATTGTCTGCGACTACTGCCGTCTTTCTCCCCTACGGAGACTGGAAGGAGGCCAAAGGAAGAAAAAACGTCAACTCATGGCCCATTCTTCGTGACAAACGCACTGTTGTTTGACGCAAAAGAAACCATCTCTTTTTTTCCACCTCCCGTCTTATCGATGACATTAAATGGCTTCCACGGCCAAGAACCGACGTGGAAATCATGGAAATCGCTACGTCGTAAAGGGGATGAGGCCGTTGCAGAGGAAATGTCGCCCCGGAAGGAAGATGAGAGTCAATTAGATGCTGCGGGTCATTGCCATCGGCAGCAATGGATGTCCTAGAATTTCCCCTGGGCCAACTCCGGGAAATGTCCCGAGAAAATTACACTCGGAAACATTTCTTCTTCGGTCATTGAAACTCATGAGACTGCGATGGATGAAATTCATGGTTCATCCGGTCGCGTCTTTAACTGCGTCTTTCGGAAATATTATCTCTGAAGAGGTGGTTTTCGTAGAGATAGACCTATCGTGGAAAGGAGATTGCGTGATCCCCCAACACACTCGTATTTGAAGACTCGAAGAAAAATTTTCCCTCGAAAGAAATTGGGGCATGATCTGATGTCTGCCAAACGTATGGCACCATGATTGAATCTTGCCATTACTTCCTCTTGGCTACAGCCACGGAACGAGCGCAGTGTCGGAGAATGATGGCGGAAGGGAAAAAAATCTCCTTGGCAGAAGTTGGACCACGGAAACGGAGAGACCTGTTAAGCGAGGGGATCTGAAGGCAGTAAGAAAGATATCAAATTTTCAAGCCAAAAATGTCGTGCAAAAAGTTACAGGGAATTCTACTCGGAGCTTCGGTCTAATTTTAACCCTGACTCTTGGGGAAAAAAAAACCTGTATGACACGGCCACCATCTTGTGTTAATGCACGAGGCACAAAGACATCGTATGAGGGATGCGAATCTCTCGAAAAGAGAAGATAAAAGACCGAGAGGGTCTTTGGGGGATCGGAGATGAGAAAAAGGGAAGGGGAAGATGATGGATGATGAGCGCATGGGGGGTCTTTAATGGTGTGGATCATTGTTCTTTCGGTACTTGTTGGGTTTCGGGCCCGTGTTTCACCTGCCTTCCGTGATACCGTCATCCCGTTTTTTCATTTTTCCTCCCTCTGCAGTGCGGCGGAGTAGGTGAAGGCCTCCGAGAATAAAGGTCTCCCATTTCTCGACGAATGCATGATGGATCGTGTCTCCACGCGACGACTCGCTTCCCTCCGTGTGTCTCCGGCTTGTGCGAGCTGGGGAATATTTCGAGCCTGCAAGTGCTGCATCCCGCTCGATCTCCGTCCGCGGCGGAACCGCCTGCTCTTCGGGGGCCGTCTTCGGTTTTATCGTTGGCCGTTGGAACCGCTACGAGCCGAAAGACACTACGAAACGTAATAAAACCAAGAGTGCAAGAATGGAAACCGTGAGACGGGAAAAGGTCCTCTGAAGCTTGAGGCTTTCGGGTTAGGACTTCTGGAAGTGCTCTTCCTCCGGCGCGATTTAATCTGGCAAGGAGCTCATTAGCAAAGGGAGATCAAGTTGCGCCTGAAAGATAATCGCCTGATGTCTAGCGAGATACGGAAGACAAAGAACTGCGGGATTCCACCGAACTCCATTTGTGTCAGTATACTCCTTGACTGAGAGACTCGTATTCGCATGGAGACAAGAAAACCCAGAGGATGGAAGGGATCCCATAAATTGGCTCCTTGCGAGGGAATCCAAAGACGGCAGGATTTACGACAGCCTCTCTTTCCCCCCCAGCAACTGCGCCATCATTCATTGATTACTCCCCGCATCAACCATGGCTCACTCAAACGTAATTTTCAAGTGGAAGATGAAGAGATTCGCTTAGTTGCACCGGAAGAAGACCGAGATCGAGTTTTCCAGATCGGAAGAACGAACGCAGCCGAACCTGAACTAGTTTAATTTGCTTGGAGATGTTCGCTCCCGAGCTCGTCGGGTCCAGTAGAGTCGTTGCGCAGAAGGCTCTATCTTCCATCTGCAGATCTGGGAGGATTTCCCGTGGGGTCAGCGTTAAGAGAAGTCTTTTCTCTCCACCTCAATTGAATTTTGCAATCGCGTTTGAGGGAGATTCTCTGCAGGAAATAGGATGTCATCGCCGTAATCATTTACCTGAAATTTTCATAAATTCTTCGGGAAATTTCTCTACCGAAAACATCTAAAATTCGATTGTACTTAATCCTGGAATATTTAGAAGAAAGCAATAAATTCGAAATCCCACCTTTAAGCGGACGATTTTTTCGCATTCGCATTGGAAAGGCCGACTTTCGATAATCCCCGGGAAATTCCAAAAATACTATTATGAAATCATGGATTCACGTGCATGAGTTATAAGTAGCATTTTTTTTAGGAGTTAATCGTAATGTAATCGTAATCTTCTTTGTAACAGGGAACTTTCCGAATTGACGCCTTGTGAAAGCAATCCAATCCATAGCCACCAGTTTGTGACCTGAATCGTAGCGGAATCTGATTCCCCCATTTTCTCCAATTCCCACATAATGGGAACCAGAGGTTTCATTCCCAATGTGCTTATGTTCTAATTGCCCCCACCGGATACGGGGGAAATGAAGTGCTTGATAGCTTCTACTCTCCGTTGGGAAAAGAACTCCTCTGAAGCGGGGCCGTACTGTTTCACGCAGATGATCCAAATTCCCAGGAAGCCTGCGGTCCACACGCAACAGATGAGGCAATTTAGATGAACGTTTTCAAATCTGAAATTTTGAATGCGCTATGGGAGGAGGATGTCATATGACGGGTACAGGCCTGAAAGTGTTAAGAATACTTTTAGTCATTCCGTCGGCCGGGACACTCTTATTTGAGAAGGGAGTGAGAAAGACAATGGTGAGTCGCGTTTTTTTCTTTCCGAATGTAATAAAAGTATTTTGAAGGTGGATTGATGAAGGCTAGCCGCCACCTCAGCAGAAACTTGGATTCTTTAGGCTCAGAGTGGAACAGGACATCTTCGAGAACCGGTTGCAATGAAGGAATCCCTGAATTAGGCGGAAAACCCTTTGCATCTCACGGGAAAGCACAAAATCTCCCCTTCTCAAACGGATTGACCGATTTCGACATCAAGAGGAATTGGTATTTACTGGACAATGAGAGAAAGGATCCTCGACGAAGTTTTCTCGCACAGAGTAATTTCAGGATTTTCTTGGAACCTATGACGACGTGAGAAAACAGAAAACATCGTTTTCCGCTATCGAGCCTGAATTCATTTTCCCTCACTTTCGACAACAACTTTGAATTTGTGTCTATGCTTGATTCTGGAATTTATTTTAAACAGTGTCTAGCTATTTATGCGCTGGAGGAGAGGAAATAATTGCACTCCTCGCTTTATGCGAGATGAAATGAGTTGATCTCACTGGGTGCATGCCTGCAGTGGATTTTAAGCACGCGATATCCATTCATGCATCGCATGCATGCATGCCTGCCCACGATTCAATCTCGGAAATTGGAATCTCCAAAATGAATATGATACAGATAACTTCCATTCATGGGAGTGCTAGCTTCCGCATGTGAAAAGAAACAGGATGCACCTTATCCCTGCGGATGAGATGAACCGAGAGATAAAGAATACCAATTAAGACTAATGCATTCATTTGATGCACCTGGAGAAAAAACGAGTAAAAAAGGCTATGCATTCAACACAGACTACTTGTAGAATGCAAAAGTGAAAGGGAATCTTGCCAATTTTTTCTAGCCATAACTTCAAATCGTTCTCTTTGAAAACGGGAAGAAGGAAAACAGTTTCCAATGTGAAAACAACGATTTATTACAATATTTTCGACATGACTGAGCATCACTGAAGATATATACATGCAGGGCACTGGTGTAAATGTCAGATCCTGGATCTCTATGGGTTATGTCCCAAATATATATTGAAGGGAATGCGGAGATGGGGGGAAAAGAGAGACGGAGCGAGGAGTGTTGGGGTTTTTCTCTTTTCTTTTTCATGCGAGGATGGATCCCAAAGGAAAAGCTGAGGAAGAGAATCTCAAGATTCTATGTTACCCAAGGGATGAGGGAAGCAATATTCTCGCATCTCTCGTAAATCATTTCCAGTCTGAAGGGCGAAAAAAAAAGAAACCCAAAAGAACGTCCGATTTAAAAAAAAGAACTACAAATTCTTTTTCCCTACATGTCCTATTTCCCTCATAATCAGTCACACACTTCACGACATCATCAGCATAGCACGAGATAAGTACCCTCTCCCATCCTTCTAACCGCAGAGACACTGGAGACCCGACATCACCCGACATCAGAGAGGGAATGTGGCGGTATCACATGCATTACATCATGATCACTTTGGGAAAAAAATTGGTATCACAGAATGATGCTGTCCTGGGTCTCCTCGTGTCATACTTGTGTATGAGCATTGCTGTAAGTCGAGTTCCTTCGAGGCCCATAGATGACGTGTGGACTGAGGCTTTCTTCCACCTGGAACACGAGACATTAGTCACCCCGATTGATCACGAATCTTCGAAAGGAAATGCTAGCTGCCAAATGTCTCCACCATTAAGACGGTATTGTGCTTAGATCAATACTCTATTCTCGAGACAATGGCCAAGAGAGAAAAAATGAGTTGGTTTTTATGTCCGAAGGCAAGAAGAGATATTTCCAAAGAATGGAAAAGGGGGAAAAATGAGGCGAGAGGAGAAAAATAGAGGGAAAAAGTATCTACCAGAATGGAGGAACTACAAGTGAATGGTGAGTCAGAGTGCAAGCTGCGTGCATTTATATGGACACAAAAGGAAAAAATCGCTACTGTGCGTCTCTGATTGCCATCTTCTACTAGAAGCAGGATTGGGGAAAAAGAAGAGGAGAAATATGAGATAAACGAGAGAAGGAGGGACTGGGACTTTCGGTGGGGCGAAGAGAAACTTACGTCATTGGATGTAGACTGAGTCAGGATAAAGCTGAATAAAAAAAAGGAGAGAGAAAAGAGATGGGCTCAGAAACGAGTTCCATCTTGATCAACTCCATTCATTCAGACATGAATCATGTGAACTATATATCTGATTTTTGAGCTCTTTTTCCACTTTCAGCTTGCATGCTGACACCCCATCACTCATCTCTGTTCTATCCGATGCACTCTTCAACGCATTGAAATGCATTATCCTAACGAAGATTAACAAGACTAGAGACATTGAGGAATTTACTTTCTCTCGTCTGGATATGAGGGGTGATTATTACGTATCAGGGGAGTGAGATGATTCTCTTTTTTTTTCCTCAGTCGTTCTCGCAGAAGAGAGAGTAGGCCATTAGTCAGGGGGTCCACGGGTGTGTCCCTGGCAGCGGCCCATTCTTATGACCCTTCACAAGGGGGGGATATTATACGTTGATTTTTCTTCCCCTCCCAGCCCCCTATAAACCTAGACCAGAAAGACTTACCCGGCCATCTTCGTTCTCTTTTCCTCCCGTGATGGACAGCTTGGCTTTGCTCTTCATCGCTTCTGACAGGCTCACCTTCGAATAAGAAGTAAAAGGAGAAAATACGTTAACACGAAGTCTGGGAACCACTTGGAGAAGAGTACTTGTGAGACGGGTGAAGTGCATTATGGAGATTAACTTAGCTTCTTTTTCATGCACTTTGATTGATAACCCTGGCAGGTTCTCATGCATGCCAACCCTTTCCCATCTCATATATAGAGGAGACACCAAATGAATAGTCTCCCTCTTCATTTTTCCCTTCTGGCCTCCTCCCCCTCTTCGCCATCGCACATGGTTCTATGCTTTCACTCCCCCTCTGTCATTTCTGCAAGCCTTGAGGGAAAAATTCCCTCCCGTCAATCACTCACCTTTTCTTTGCGAGACTCGACGGAAGACTTGTAGCAGAACTCCATTAAGGCGACGATGAGGGCAAGAACGAGGCCCCCGATGAGGATGAAGAATATCCCGGCCACATTCCCCAAGTTCAGCTCATTCTGGCTCGTTTCCTACAAAAAAAGGGAGAGGAAATGAAGGACCGACTGCAGTGGTGTCCAATACAAGAACAACTCTCCTTTCTCCATTTGAGGAGGGAAGTAAGACGTAGCTCCCCATAACTGTACTCTATCCATCTCCCCATCTTTCTGCAGGGGTTTCTTCTCGTTTCCTGCTTCCCAGCCATAAAAGCCGAGGCTCATTCATGTCCTTGTGATATCGCCTCTAATAATGCCGGACTTTCATGCCCATTTCCTCCGATCCCCTTCCCTCTCTCTCGTCTTCCTTTCATGTCCATTCCATGCAACGTTAATCGATGAATCCCCGCAGCCACAGACAAATTTTTGGCCATTTCCCCCCTTGCATTTATCTTCGTTCTTTCTCGTGGAGGGAGGACGGGATGAAACATGGGGACGGGATTCAAGTTTCTTTCTTCTTTTGGGAAAAGCGTGTCAAGTGAAATGTCCGTGATGAATATTCATGCAAGCAAGGCATGGAGAAAGAAGTTTCAAAGCCAGCGAGGGCCAAGTTGAAAAAAATCTATTATGCAAATTGTCAAGCAAAGGGAACATGGAGATCAATCATGGCCCCTCTCAAGTCTCGACCTCTGCTCGAATGGAATACGTCGATATCGAAGGGTATGCAAAAAGGAAAGATTGATCACACTTTCATCATCCCCTTCGGTCGAGGTATTATTTCTTGTCCTTTCTGCATAAAACGGTGGAAAACATTAAACGTTAGCGTTGAAGGAGAACTCAAGAGGATGATTGAACATCCTTCCATCGAATCCGATGCGGAAAAAAATAATTTCCAAACTGATCGGCATGAAAAAAATCAAATTATTGCGATGTATTCGAGCTGCTTCTACTCCCAATCTTCAATGATAGGTTAAAGTCTTGCGTTACTTGGAGTGTTCATCGCTGGAATTATGCATGAATAGCTCGCCTGAGCCTGAAAGCTTCTTCCCATAATGCCGATAAGAAGGAAGCGTCAATCATTTCAATGCCATTTGCATATTTCTTGTCTTCGGCAGGCATTACAAAAGATAATGGCACGATGAGGGACTCTCAAATATTTGAGGATTTTCTACGCATAATCCCTTTTCTGCGTAGAAGACGCGTGGCTTTGGAATCAAAATGCTTCTTACAGGTTGAAACTAAGAAGGCAAGGCAGGCAAGTGAGGCTTGGAAGGAGAGAAATTTTTTCAGGGAATCATAAAGAAGAGAGAAGAGGAGCTCAATCTTCCGGATGAAGATAGATGCTTCTTTTTTTTGTCTCAATTGCCGTTGTTGTTTCATTCCGTGAAGGAGATGGATGAATCCAGATGGACTGATGAAAAAAAAAGAGTAGACATGTAGGCCCGCACACGGTCTGTGCTTCCCAGTCACCCCAAATGAAAACCGACAAGAGCCCCCAACCATGGTCTCGTATTTTCCCCCTTTCCTCCTTCGCGCTTCCCGGACGAAAATAGCCCGATGAAAATAGCCAAATTCACGTCTCGAAAGAGAGATATCGATGTTGAGGCTTACGGTTTTGTCATTGCTGCTGCATTCACTCCGGTCGTACCACCACTTATTCTCCAATCGGGCCAAGTCCCCGTTCTCCTTCAGCTCCAGCACCGCCAAATTGATCTCGTCTCTGTCGTCACGACAGACACAAAAGGTTGCGTAAATACCAGTTTCAAGAATGCCTTTCTGACATTTCTCAGTACAGTATTACTTGAGGGGTGATTCGAGAGGTGTAGCGACGCCGTATCCCTTCGCGTCCAAATTCCGACCGACCTGAGGAACAAGAAAAATGGTCGGTATTCAAAGTCCTTTTCGAGCATGTCCATTTCGCGCTGGAAGAGGGTCTACCTTCATGGTGTCGCAAGGTGCTCGTTCGTTGATGTAATCATTTTTGGTGCTCTCGACGAGGAGTGCGTACTTCCCTTTCGAGCTTCGGACGCGTGCGATCCCTTCATCGTAGGTGTCTAAGAAGACGTGTTTCCGGGAACTCATGAATTCCCACATGCGTTGATACACTGCTATCCTCGACCTCTGGAAACATGAAAGAATTGAATGGGGGGTCACGCGATATCGAACGAATGCGAGCACGATCGAGAATACTGATTTATGGGCCTCACGAACTCGGAAATCCGTGCATTGCTAACGAACGTGGGCCTGCCAATTAGGACATGGGATTTTTGTTTCCAACTGCGTAGCATGCAGGCAGTGAGAAATGAGATCTCCCCTTGAATATTATCTTCATTAAGGTTGCTCGCGGCAGAGGGGAGGAAATCTTGCTCATTAGTGGGATAAGCCCCATAAACAAGTAATGATGAGCTCTTAACGAGGAAGAGATGGTAAAGAGAGCTCACCCGGAAAAATTCCTGGGTGGATCCAGATCGAAGGGTGCCGTATTCCACGTCGGTCTGTCGTGCGAGGTCATCTGCAGAATTAATGGGGGTAACCATTCTTTCCACGGTGAGAAACGCGGCTAGATTCGCCGTGTACGAGGAAATGAGGATCAGGGTGAAAAACCACCACACTCCACCCACGATCCGACCCGAGGTCGACCTGCCACCACAAAAATGCAATTTTTATACTGTATAAAATGTGCTTCCCTTTAAAACAGTCTCGGATCGGTTTCAATCGAAGTTAGGTGTCTAGACTCTAAAGTGCATGCAACAGCGATCGAGACGGACCAATCATCGCCATGGCTTTTCTCTAATGTCGAAACGAATCTCCAACAAGTGGGACCTCCCTCTGCAGGATGTTCCAGCCGTAAGGTTATACTGCAATAAAGGCGACATCGTCCTGCCTTATGACATGGAAAACGGAGGACTGACAGGGGTAATGTAGTGGATGAGGCGAGGAAGAATTTGCATGATATCCGTCAATGTCTTGTGGGGGATGGCATGGCATTCTTCCATGTTTCATGCCTTCTCGACCACAGCCCATTAAAGACATGCCTGCATCGATCACCTCGCATCAATCCCGTCGTTCCAAAGTCTTACTGTGTCTATTTCATGTTTGCTCGATGGCCCAAGGCCCTGGAAGACTCAGGGAAAGAGTAACTATCATATTCCGCAATGCTGTGTACGTTCGTTGATGAGTCGGTTGACGTCTCCGTTATGGATGATCCTATCAAAGTGTTACATGGATGGGCGAGGGCTTGAAGTTAATGAAGGTCTTCTGATGGGATGACTGGAATTAACGGTCACGAAACCCATATTAGTGAAATGCATCTTCATTACACCCCGTACCAGCGATTATGGTCGGATAATTACCATAAGCACTAATTGCCCTCCCTTCATTTACGGGACCCGCCCTGCAGACGACAGAAACATAAAACCTTTAAGGGGTCTATCAATCTGCGTCGGATGATATCAAGAGAAAAGGTCATTGTAGGTATAAGGTGAGACGGGATCAGAGTCGGGTGCCCCAAGGGTGCCATCTCCTTTCTCCTTCTTTCCCATTGGAGAATACGTAATCGATCGTCCTTTCCAAGACTGATTTACTCGACAACTCCCATTTTTTATCCTCCCACTCCTTCCCGTGAATTCTCTCGACCTTCTCGACGAAGACAAAATCGAAAAGAGAGAGGGAGAGAGAGGAGGGGAGGGAGAGGAAGGATGGGGTGGAGATGGGTTTACACTTTTCCGGGTATCCAGATCCTGAGAGGGCTCTATCCACACGTATAATCACTTTCCAGCGAAAGTTCCTCTTGCGCTTCGGTCGGATTAGAAGGGAGAATTCAAGCGATCAAGAAGTTCTCTGAACTCAAAGATTAAAGGCCAGACCGAAGAAGTTTGTTCGTCTCCGATGTCCTTAGAATGTCGGAAAGCAAACCCACTCCATGTTGAGGTATGTGATTGCGTCATTTCGGTCGGAAAATGAGATGTTTACCAGTATTCATAAGTATGGGTTCCTTCTCATGAAATCGATGACTTTCCACGTCAAAGGAACGTCAAAACATGTCGAGTTTGAAGAAGATACGTAATGTGACGTTATCGTGTCTTTTGAGGTTGAGTCCGACCGGTTGGATCACGTCGATGAGGCATGAGAGAGAAAAGACATGGCGACATGAGGGGAAGGAAGAAAAAAAAACGGAGAGGAAAGGTCATGCAAACATGCAAAATCAGCGTTCACACGATCCGATGATAATCCATGCCAGGGAAGGAAGGTTCCTCCGAGGAATTGGGCTTGTCTCTGTGCATCTGTCTCGTCACGGGATCTGGTCATTATTGAAGAGGGATGGCGCACGCGACGAAGACCCTCACACCCTTCTCGAAGAAGCGGCGTCATCGCTTAGCCCCTCGTCTTTTTCCGCAAAGAGATATCCTTTACCGGCGAAAACCCAATTCCTCGGGGATGATGGGAAAGCAAGGAAAAAGCATTGTGAGAAAATACATTTCTTCGAGCTCAGACCTTGGAGAGATTTCGGATCCCTGTTGCATGAAGGCCCCGAGGGAGAACCAGAGGCTATTTCTAAAGGAAAGTTCATTGACGACTTTCGTCCCTGCCAGGGTTTCTTCGATCCTCCATTCGTAGGGGCTGAATCGACTGACTAAGAAAAGGACGATGCTCACACCCACGTAGGCGAAGATCACGCACATCCAGATCTCTTTGCTCAAGGGATTCATGAAACTGAAGAACCCTGGATTTTGCTTCACGGGCTTCTTGATCATGATGCTAATCCCCAGTGACATGAAAGGCTTGCTGAAGCTGATCACTCGTTCTCTTTCGGATGTGATCGTCAACGGGGCAATCGCTATGTCCGCCTCCTGCACACGTACAGTATGTATAAAGTACCGTGTGTGCCAAAATGAACTGAATAGGTTAAAAAATGTATTGCAATCAAATAAAAATAACATAACTGGAAAATATATAAACATATTTTGTTAAATGCACTGATTTGGAGGGGTTTCGTGTATAAGCTCAATGTTGCCACTATATTATTCCTAATACGCAATGATATTCATCTGTCTTGAGTCATGTCTTCCTTCGATTTGGTTCCAATAAGTTTTTCCACGTGCGTAGTTGTTCTAGGACACAGCGTACATAAAAATCTTTGGCGAACCGATTTCATCCCTCCTTCCCATTCGCAATCGAGAAAACAAATAAGCTCAGAGACAAGCCCTTGGAATCGCGGAGGAACCTGGTTCCTGGGACCTCTGAAAATGTCACCTCTGAGAACCACCTTGTGTATGGGGATCCAAATTCGCTTACGAAAGGCTTTCCGAAAAGTGAATGTGACTTGTGGCTTGTGACTTGTGACTTTCGATCAGAGATTTGTGATACTTAATGGACTCTCCCGTGTTCTCAATGTCTCTCATCCTTATCAGAATCAGGGGGTGAATTATTTCATCGGCAAAGTACATTTGGTCTGGTTTGCCTTTCATCCAGAAGGAATTTTGTATTTAGTACCGGTGACTCGACGAAAATGTAACAAAGGAATTCATCATTGCGCTGCAGCACAGTAATGGTTTGACAGGTGCATTTGCACACGGTCACGTTACGAGGTGCTCAATTTTACTTAATAGTTTGCTAAAGGTATATACTCAACTTCAGATTATGGTATTGTCATGACCATGGCAAACTCTAAGCGTTGGCTAAGAGTAACATCTCGAGTTAATTTTGACATAAAGTAACGGTAATGCCGGAGTGCTGTTTCTCTAGCGCCACTCTCTCAGTCCGATTGTTCTCAACTTTTTTTATTTTTGCGGCGCAAACCTCAATGTAGACCGACGTTGAGAAAGTCATGCATGTGAACAGAAATACGAGGAAGAAAGGATCCATTTTACAAAAAAGGACTTTTCTGTCTGGATTTGCAGCTTTTCTCTTCATGTTTTCATCTCCTCCTAGCGGGGATATGTCTCTCAGAAATTGCGTATGAGATCCCCGGTTGGCAAAGAGGACGACAGTTGGCCACATTTCCTCAGCTCACCATGACTATTGACGAATATTTTCTCGTGTTATCTCTTTCCTTTAAAATGCAAAGAGGTCTTGTGGATAGATTCAAACAAAAGGACATCTTTAAAGAAAAGTCCAGCTGTTGCACGCGAACAAGGCCACCTGGTGTTTCTCGGGCTCTTCTCATATAAATACGAGTATGTGGGGATGAAGCGGACGGAGATTGATCTGAATCCGTGGAACCGGTAAATCTGCTCCCTTTGCCCCCCTTCGTTCCCCTTTGTCCCCCTTTGATCCTCTTCGCCTATACCCGACACGAAAACAGTAAATTTGACTCCAAAGGCCAGGTTTCGTTAATTGCTTTCAACGAACAAGATCTCGTCTCTTCAACAGATTCTCCTCCTCGTTGTCTGCATGGGAATTCGCCTTGCAAGAGGACTATCACGCGAAGGAGAGACGTTCGACCGAAGTGGCTGCATTCTGAGTCCCGGTTCGAGGGGTTAATTCGCCATCGATGAGGGAGAGGGACTCCGGAGCCCTTAACACCTTCTCCCATTCATGGAGCTCGATAGCCGTTCGATTTAGCTCCCTCTTTGCCAGATTATCTGAGATTCTGATCCTGTTTCCAGCCATTTGCTCTTTTTCTTGTAAGGGTGTGGTACATAACGATTTCTTTCAAGTGCAGACTCTACAGTATTTAATCAATTTTGCAAGTTAACCCCTTCATACGTTGACCCCTTCGATTATCCAAACGATTATGAAAATGGAGAACCATTCCGCGAATGGAAATTTGGAATGAACAGTTTTTAACCCATTTTCATTTTGGTCGATCGAAGACTCCACTGTTGGAATAAACGGTCGTTTGCCTCTTTTGCAGGACCATGATGGATCAGTCTGTAATCGGAGATCCACCATCCTGGATTCCGAAATTGCATCCGGGGGCGAAGAGGCCATTTGCAATGAGGAAATGAGCTAATAAGGAGAGGAAACGGATCGCAGCTCCTACCGCCGGTGAAGTTGCGCATATTTTCATCTATATGTATTTCCAACTCACGACGTGGTTCGAAGATTCAGGGTCTTCCGTCAAGTTCTCTGATCTTTGGTTAAACAAATTGTATGGTATATAGTACATGTGTACGGTGGGTGGTTCTCAGATTGCTTCGGGAGGGCCCAGGACGTAAATGGAGCAGGCAGGTTATGCAATTAGACGGACGGACGTGGACGAAGAACAGATGTTCCCAAGAGGGTAAGGCTTAACCTTGGCATTGGCCAGTTGCTTTGCTTCACCACGGCCCCGAGGGAGAACCACATGCTATTGCGAATATTGAAGTCGTTGATGAGAAGGACCCGCCCGGACCGAGTCGTTTGTCTCCTCCAACCCACAACGCTGTATCGTTGAGCCAAGAAAAGGACGAAAGACACGACCAAGAACGTGAGTCCGACGGAAAGCCACACCGACTTGGAGAAGGGGCTCATGAAACTGAAAACCCCGGGCTTCTGGCGGGCAGGCTTCTTGATCATGATACTGATTCCCAGGTTCATGAATGGCTTCGTGAAGTAAATCACTCGTTCTCGGTCGTGTGTGATGGTCATTGGAGCCACGGCTACGTCTGCCTCCTTCCGGTCCACACATGCCAAGCATAATTATGACTTTTACTGTTTTCCGACCACCAAACAGGCCATAAAGTTCGGATACGACCAGCAATCAGGACGTGCCTCAAGGCTATTTTCCGATAGGCCTATTCTCACGGGGGTGGGGCATATTCCGTGATTATATGATCTCATCGTGTCAGTCCTGACTCAGCCATTTTACTCAATATGTTGCAGTGAATGCTCTGAAGATGGGCTGCGTACATTGATATTGCTACATGCAGGATTTAATTGAACTCGGCTACTATTTACCAAGGCTATGAGAAAGGGACCAGTCTGAAAGAGCCACTTAAATTAATTGAATTCCGAATTTGCTAAATGAGGTTAATAGAAGTCACTCCAGATGGCAGTTTTGAGCAATAACTCTATGGAAATGTAGGCGCTGGAGCGCTTCCCTTCGTTAAGCTTCATCATTCCTTGCAATTATTCTCTGAGCGCACATCGTTCACCAGCAGGTGATCCGATTGAAATACAGGGTAGCTCCATCTACCGTGTTTACGAAATCTATTCAATTGCATTTAATCAATAACTTGATTCACGTTAAGAATAAGTGCGGAATGAATCAAGTCTTGTTCAGTACCTATGGAGTTTTATCCAGAGAAGACAAATCTTGGATCGTGAGTTACGTGCATGAACAGAAATGGCTCAGCCAGATCAGTAGATTTCTCACTTCTCACACAGGGATGTCGGAAGTTTAGTTTTTATCCTAGTTGATTATTAGTTCTAATTTCGACTTTAGAATTCCAGATGGAGTTGTAGTGTACCGATCCAATGACGCAGCCCATAACTGAAATGTGAAACATTGAGTTCGGATTGACTTCGCTCGAACATTCCTTTATTGACTTCGTTTAATCGATCCGAAGTCATTCCGAACCCACTCTACTGGTCTCGCTTCGTGATTGATTACATGTATGAGAAGGGAACTCACGTGTCGAATGAGTTCCCCGACCATGCCATCCCAGCCCCCAGGGGCATCCGGCTTTTTCGCTCCGTATCTCCCATCCTTCACCACCCGAATCTCATCTAGCGTCCAGAATAAAGCACGGTGAAAAGAGGAATATATATAGATCCACACGGGATGTCTTCCTCTCGACATCCACAGAAGCGAGTGCTTTCAGATCTTCCAGCAGGAGCATGAAAGGGTCTGGTAGGAACGACGAGGGAAATGGAATTCTCGTGTCTTTATTCATTCCTGACGACAGGGAATCAAAAGCCTCCCTAATTAGGAAGTATCTCCAGACAGATAATAGCTTCACTCGCTCCCGCCAGGAAGAAGGATCCGATAACGGCTGAAGCAAGAAACGCTGTGATAAACGCGTCTCGCATACATATGTTTGTTTCGCTTTCTTTCCAGCTTTCTATATGGATGGAGCAATTGTAGCACGATCAGATCAGGGATGAGAAGTGATCCCCGGACCGACATCCATTACATAAATAGGACGAGAGTCATTTAGAGTGTACAGCTCATTAATTGAGGGCCCCTTCCTGGGTGGACGACAACCCTCAGCTCTACGACTTCTTGTCATTATAATTGTTGTTTACAAGATTTATGAGCTTGCGTAGCATAAGAAGGCTATTGTGAATGGATGCAATCAGTCTTTTTCCAAGTGAGAATGCGATGTCGATGATAACGTTCCGACCACTCGGAAGAGGCAATTCGTGATATCAAGTAGACCCACTTTTCCTGCTCTAGGGCATCGACAATCAGGATTGAGGGATCCAGACTTTGGACATTTGTGGGCCATCTGATGAGGTCTCGCACAGGAGGGTGGGTACTTGCATGAGTGCGGTCAACTCTCCTGTGCGATCCTCATAGCGTAGGACGAGCAAAAACAGCCAAAAGAGTTTGAATCATTCTAATGTGGTTAGAATAATAAAATTATAGTGAGTGTAGGGCATACTTACACTGATACCCCTTCTTTTCAGCAATGAGGTCCATGAGATCCTTGCAATATCCCTCATATCGGTCGTTTCCTTCCAGCACTTCTCCTGGTTCTGGCTTTTTCAACGTCAAATACGGCTCTTCCTGAAATGCGAAAAGTAGGATCGTACCAAGAGACAAGGAGAAGATGCAAACACTGTGCCCGCAAGTCTGCCATCTATTGGAGAAACCAAAAACGAAGCAAATCCTCCTTCCCGCCCTCCCCCGGATCTCTGGAGAATAACGATGGATGCTGACTATGACACAGATGTCGCCTCTCAACGCCCCTGTCTCAGATCGGAGACTCTAAATTTAGCCCCAGGGCATTTCTATTAAATCATGAGGACGCCTCACAAGGTCAGAGAGGACGGTTTTACTCACGTAAATGGAGGTGATGATCAGCGTCATGTTTGCAGTAATGAATGTTGGCTTCTGCAGTCGCTTCTTGTTCACTGGTGTAATCGAGAATCCCGTTTCGTCCGACCAACTTCCGATCTAACACATAGAAGGGCGAATCCATTAGGAGATAATGATCATTCCCTCTTTTCCTATTGTCCTGCAGAACTAAATGCACAGATTACAGACCAGGTAATCTGCGACCAGGCGATCAGGGTTGCTACCGTGCTGCCCATATCAATATAAAACGAGCACGCATTCCCTTTAATGGGTACTATTTCTTTTAGAGCCATTTTGGGCTTGCGCCGTTGGGTGTATGAGCCAAATTAAATTTCACAATCTATTACAGCGAACCCTCGATACATCCCCGCTCTCGTTCGCCGTTAACTCTTTCCTGAGAACAAATCTTTCCTATAAGCGTATAAAAGGCGATCTCCTTTTACAACAGGGATCCTTATCCTTGAACTAACACAGCTGAATATTTGTTGCCGTCTGCCCACTCGATCGCGTGACAGACAGCGAGACCATGAGAGGTGATTCATACCTGTTTGCATGGATATTGCTTAGAAAAAGTGTGGAGTGTCGGAGGGGACATAAGGTGGAAATATAAACTTCATGTTCATTTGGTCACTTTATCTCCCGGAGAGTTCGCCATCGTTGCCACTAGTATACCTCGGTTCATTTGATATGGCACAAAATCGGCAACGACCAACGGTGGCGTTATGTTGAGGATTGACTGTAGTTCATTGCGAATCTGGATCCTGAGCAATGGGAACGAAAGTTATTCTTGGTAGAATTCGTTTCATCCAGACAAGCTTGGGGCAGCTCCTGCACTCTATTGGACAGACGTGTAAGCTCCAGTCCTCAAAATCTCATGCAAGAGAGAACTACCGTTCGCCAACGCTTTGGAATCACCTTTTTAAATATTAATTCTTGACTACTGCAAAGAGCCATATCATTACATATCTGGAGGATACTTATAGAAATTATGTAAGATTATCTGTCAAAATCGAAGTGATGTGCAAAGCAAAAAGAATTTCGCAAAATACACGACCAGGAAGTAATTGATGGAACTTGGTCTCCTTAAACCGTGAAAACCGTGAGATTTCCTAATGCCCGAGTCCTTCTTCTGGAGAAAGTCTAAGAGGTGATCCTTTAGAATGCAGGCCATGCTCTTTCCCAGATTGCTCGTGAGGCCGACCGACCTGTACTTCCCCCGATTGCTCTTATCCCTTTTTTGAAGATTGCTACGACATCCGTTAATATCCGATACCGAGGCGTTTCCCGACGCAAGACGCTATCCTCGAAAATTGATCTTGACGGTACCCCTACCTCATGAGATAGCACGGGAATCCCATCGGGACCGGTTGCCTCTTCCGTATTTGGCTTCCTCGTCTTACTCGTAATCTCTTCCTTTGCGATGAAGGTATAATCATCAAGAACTTGACGTTGCGCGTAAACCAGACTAGGTGTCAAAGCAATCTCTTCGAATTTTTACCTCCTTAGAAGAGCCGCGTTGAGTATCTGCCACTGCTCCTGAAGCTTTAGAACTCTCGGCCTTAATTCCCAATCGAGGCTGGAAAGGAATCCCCTTCGCTTTCTGAGATCCGCTTTCCTATCGTCATAAGAATCTTTCGTCGCCCTGTAGTCGCGTCTCGTCTGTTGACATCCAACGTGATTACACAACGATCCGAATCTCGCACCTTATCTCGACATTTAAGATCAGGCGCCAGATCCATTGCGAAAAGTAAAACTAGCAAGTTGGCATTTCTGCTCAGTTCCTCTGTGCAGCACGAAGAAAGCATCCTGGATCGCATCCAGAAAGTCCCGTTCTCTCTCGCTCCCCCTAAACTTTCCTATTTCTTTGCCGCCCTGAGCGGAAAATCTTACCATGTTGGTTCGCCTGTAGAGACAGATTAAGTAAAGAGGAAAAGAGGCTATGCGGTTATGGAGATTGCATTTTTAAAACCCGTGAGGGTATCGGGAAAGTCGACTTAGCAGAACGAAAAATTCCATCTATATGCGTGCTTGTCGGAAATCATAAGCGGGCTTTCGCTAAGAATACTCAGAGTTCTCGATCCTGGAGTATTTAATTTCAGCCGAAATCTGCAGTCGAGAATGGACTTGCAATCTTCCCAAGAACGATATTCGGATTCTGTTTCGGTACGTTCCCAGCTTTCCCCATAGATACCACGATGATAGAAGATATATAACTCAGTATAAACAGCAGAAATGAGGTATGTCGGCCCCAAGCGAAGCGAAAGTCGATACCCTCTATGAAGGAGAAGACCACCACTGGAGAGGGGGATGATGCTGATCAAGATGAAGCTCATCATCGCCTCGCCTCGCCTCACCGAATAAGTGGATGAGCAAACACATGGTGGTTATATCTCCCCACTTGTTCATATAGACTTCATCACTTCCTCCTTGGAGACACAACACGTGTCTATATTGGTATATCTTGCACGAATGGCAAGATTAAGCGCGCACCCTCGAATGGAATGTTGATCTAACCGAACCCTTTCCTGCCGCGTCGACCTGGTCATTGGAAACCCTAGTCTCGTGGGGAATACGTCATGTCCATGTAATGTCAAGGAGGATCGCAGGGGGACAATCAAGGCTCCATAAATTCCGGTCTTCATGGTTCCCTCGGCACAGCCGAGACTGATCCAGTCTCTGGAAATTGAGTTGACGGATAATAAATGATGCCTCTAGCCTTGTCTCCCTCACATTCTTTCCTTCCTCCTTCCCTCCCTCCTTCGAAAGCCCTGTTCTTAGCGATCGATTTTCTCGGTTGTGACGTTAATGTTTCTCTCTTCGCCCTACATAAAAACGGATAGCATTATGCACAACTTTTTTGTACATGGAATATCTTCACTCCTGAAGGAGGCTTCGTTTGATCACAGCATCCTCCCAACAGTTGTCGTCGATCAACACCTGTTCTACAGTCTCCATGTATATATATATATATTTTTTTTTCTGTTTGACGACACTCAGCGCCAAAACAAGGCAACTCCGAGGAGTTCAGTTAAATTTGATAAAAGGAACTCGGAGCAGTGTGCAGTAAAATCTATTGGAATTACAAGATCGAGGAGTTACTCGTAGGATGACCACAGAGAGCTCACCAATGCTGAAATGATTTAATCGTAACGGCTGATTTTTTTGCGTCACTGTTAAGTGTTCTCCGTGAAAATTTTCAAAGAAGCCGTGGTTGGAATTTTTATTGCCTATTTAACTAGTTTATTCGCATAACGCATCGCTGAACGAATGGAACATGGGCCCACGCGCTCAGTGACAACCCAATCGTTATGATAGGAGGTGCTGGCGGGATTAGCACAGTTCCTCGATAACCTTTATCCGACGGTCTACGGCACTATATGCCCACTACATCGAGTTTTCGTCAATATCCCTTGACTCCATGGTGTAGCTTTTTTGTCCTTGCGTATATTCCCTAAAGGTGCTGTCAGTTATATAGTATTTGCTGATTGTTTTAATATTGATGAGCACAGAAAAAAAAACCAGATATGAATCCCTTGAAGTCTGGATAGTCAAAAGAGAATGCCCATTGTACTCATTTCCCGGAAGCATCAAGGAGATACACACAGCATCGCTAAAAAATTTTGACTGGATTTCAACGATCAGCATCAATTTCTAATAGTCGCTATTTCCATACGAAAGAAGTCGAGAGACTAAAGAGAGAAGACAATATCCGGGTAGTGAGTCCATAGGGAACCGGTTTTATTGAAGAGAGGCCGTCTCGTATTTTGCTGGCCCAAGTTCAAAAAGCACGGATTTGCTGAGACCGTTGCTGCTATTGTACCGTGTCAAGTTGCTTCGTGAGAGGTCAAGAAAGAAGGCAGAAGACCGGAAAGTTCCTTTCTTGAAGAAGTAAAGGAACGAAGATAGAAGTATAGGATATCAGCACTGTCACGACGGACTTGGAGAGATGCCAACGCTCCTGAGGAAGCGTGCCTATAGAAGTGAGAGGCCCCCCAAAAATGCCAAGGAAATCACGAGGTACATAAATGAAGTAGTGTATAGGTATGTGAGAATGCATTCACAGAAGATGTGGGTACAAGAGGACTGCTTCAAGCTGTTTTTATGGGCTCGTTTTTTCCTCGTTGAAAGGTATGTTCCCCTGGGATGTCCATTTAGATATAGAACACAGACTCCATTAAAGGAAGGTATCAATGTGGTCCTCAAAAGTGAGGACCGCTGAGAGTGCCAAGGAGAAAGAAGTCACCCAGATTATCTGGCTGGGTTAACCGGTTGGGGGATACATTCCTGAACTCGCTTGGCTCACGTATGAGGACGGGAAAAGGCAAGCTTTTCCTTCATAAGAGAATATGAGTAATAATCCCTTCATATTTATTTGATTTCTCTTGCTGGGCGCAGATGATTCCCAGCTGTTGTAAGTCTCAACAGAGACTCAAACCAATCTCTTATTTTCATGTAAGGTCTTTCCATTTTCTCGCTGAGAAATTTGTGATGTTCGTTGTCACTCTGAATAATAACGTTTGTCATGGTAGATTAATAATTTCCAGACTTTACAGGTTGTTCATTACAAGAATTCGATTTGGGTTTTGGGTCTTCCGCGTTTGGTAAACTCAACAGACCATCGGATTTCACATTTTATTTCATTGAGCACTTTTTTTTAACTTAATGGAACAATGAAACTTTTTGGAGTACCGACCAATCCACACCTTGTATTGATGCTGCGCTTCCCTTCTGGTCCATCACGCATCCACACAAAAAGAACCCTTAGAAATATTCGCAGTAGACATCCAGGGTGGCACACGTGGTGAATACGTGCAATGCTCGTCGAAGACCACAGACGAGGATAAGACAAAAGAATACGTATTGAGATTCTCGACGCATCACATCATCTAAGCCCAGAAAATGGGGGGTCAAGAAGTTTCCCTATCCCTTTTCGGGGGAGGATCCATCACCGAGATGCCACAGTTTCTTTTTATTCCATTTCCTTCCGGATGGACTCCTTTCTGCGGAGACGAACCACAAACGGCCTCTCCCTCCTCCTGCTTCCAATCCGCTCGCTTTCCACTTTAGTTCTCTTTTTTGTTCCAGAGGAATACGAGCAACCGTCGACGCATTCATTCCAGACATGAATGCCGGTCCACGGGAAGGATTGAAAGAGACTATAGGGATCAACTGAGAAGGCGAATCGGCGAAATGAGAATCGGCGAGGAGGTCATGGATTAGCGATTGCGGTGAGAGGGAAGAGATGCTAATGCATGTGCATGCCTAACGAGGCTACAGAGAGAATGACTTATAAGGGTAACGTTCCCCACCGCTCCGCGACTGGTTCTTAATTCTTTTTAAAGAGGAAGATCAGGACTTCCCTTCACTGCAGCTGAGGAAAAGGGATGGAAGAGGGATAGGGGAAGTGCGATCGGGAGCTTGAAAGGGACTCAGGAATGAATATTTCAAGGCGTGAAGAGATGAAGGTCTGGGGCTATCAGAGAAGCCAGTGAGCAGAAGGATTGCTCGGTCATCCATTCCAACTTCTTTTCTCCTCTTCCCTCCACCGTTCCTGACCTTTATTATGCTCCCCTTCCCATATGCAATGACAACGCAGGGCCTTCCGAGAAAGGCGAGTCCCAGTTCTTGGCTCGATCCGTGCGTTGACTCTGGATGGGGGACGCCTCTGGAGGCCTATTTGCATTGCAGGAAAATCCCCTAGGCATTTCCTTCTCATTCTCTTTCCATCTCCTTCCTTCAACAGTGAATAATTCATCTATTCAGGAATTATTAAATCCTCGGGAACTCCTCTCCCTATCTGTTCGCTCATAAAAGATGATATAGCCAATAACTCCATTCTGTTTTCATCCCCCCTGGAGTGGAGAGAAGAAAAAGGAAAAACAGAAAGGAAACTCGCATGGGAAGACAAAAAATATAACTGGGTGAGGTTTCCTTATTCATCGACTAGAGAACGAGTGGAAAGGGGGCGGGACAATGGATTCTATGTCGAGGGCCAGAAGTCATTAGCAGAGCTTGAGCTGCACCTTATTCTGATTTCTGGAACCAATCAGAGAGAGAAATTCCCCAAGGACCTTCTCTCTCCTCTTGTTCCTATAGGCTTCCATCAAGGAAGACTCTCTCCCTCTTCTGCAGATTGATGAAGGTTTCGCGTGAGGCTTTCCCTTAGAGCGCGCTGAAAGGCCACTCACGTATGATATAATCCCCAACCACACGACCGGCCCCGACTCATTCAGTCCTACCATCCGGACAATAGAAGAGATTGAATCCCATGTCATAGGCCCAGAAAATGCGAATCCTATTCTCATACGGCATCTCATCTGTGGCCAGGAAATCCTCAATGATGGATGGGTTAATAGGAAGGGAGGTGATTTGCCTGGGGGAAAGAGGCAGCCTTTCCGTCCATACGGTTCTCCATTCAACAGCATTTTCATGGGTATAGGCTTCTAGAACCAGATTCAAGAAAATTCTTTCTATAAATGAGCTTCTCCCTCGTTTCGCAGTTATTGCTTTCTACCCTCATATATTTCCTTAAGAAGGTTATCTCCTGTCAGAAGAGAAGAACTCTTCTCAGCATTAGCAAATTGAGCATCCGGTTATGAGCTCGGAGAAAAGAGAGGGAAAGTGTGTCTACCGTGACGTTTAATTCTTCTATCTCATTCCTCCGAGAGAAGGGGGTCCAGATGGGATGGAAGGGATTGGAATGGAATGGAAAGGAATGGAATAGAATAGAAGGGAATATTGTAGATAGAGAGCTTGATTGTATGGCTCTCTTTCTCTCGAAGAGGTCTTCTTGGTATCTTTCTTTTTTTTCTTCTCTACTTTCTTCTTCCAAGGTGATACCCATTGTACCATATCCGGTAGGTATACTCACGATTCCTTGCTTCCTCATGTTCACCCTCCATGAATTCCCTCATTCAAAAGGATCGGGTTTCCACTCGGGTTTCCTATCCTCGATAGGTGAATCATCGATTCACCAGACCATCTTATAGCTAGGAGCTTTGGGTCTCCTTAGGACACCAGATGCTACCAAACTAGAACTCGAGTGCAGTTGAATGCTACATAACTGGATAAGGAGCTGTGAAGTCTGATAAGTACAAAAAGGAAGAAAGCAGACGTACCTTGGCGAGTTCACTATGGATGGTCATCTCGACGACATCCAGTGAGAAACCGACTCGTTTCCCGTTCTTGTCGAAGCTCAATGTTCCCGTCAAACCGCTTAGCTTCACCTGCAGCACGACACGCCAATGGGTAGAATGGAAACGGCAAAACGTTAAAGGAATAGAAATATGATGGAGTTAGTCGACATTTCTGGACTCAAAGGTAAAAAAAGGACCATAACCGAAATTACAGATTGGTCATAAAATCTGGGCGAATTTTTTTTCAGCGCTAATTTCCCTCACTATTGTGATTCTCAGACCTTCCTGTAATGAGGCTTACCCCCACAACACAAAGGATCCGTATTAATATGGAACAGGTCAGCCGATGAGCTGAGGTAGAGCAAAACAGCTCTAAATCCAGCTTTCCTGGCCTGACGATTTCGTTTCCCTCCCCGTCTGACGTTTACATAATCTTGACATCTTCGATTTCATGCTATTGTTAGCACGATGGCTAGTGTGCGGAAGGGAGATATGAAGAGGAACATATTGTGTATGCAAGACTGATAGAAAATATCGACTTGGCAGGTGCGTCAGTGAATCGACTTTTGCAAGTTAAGAACTCCACCTCCGAAGACTTCCTCCTCAGATACTGTAGAATAGTGGCTCTCAACCATTTTACTGTCGCGACCCATCAAGTCCTCTTCCCATCTTTATGTGACCCACAAATTTAGAAACGTCCAGAAATAATGCAGCCATGTGACTTGAAAAAAGAGTTGATTGCCTTTTTTAAATACGAAAAGTGCGCTCTCAATATATTGCTCTTGGCACGGATGATTCCTTAATTACTCCTCTCTGTTACCTCTTCGATCTTCTCTGAAAGATCTCCAATGGTTTATCCTTCTATGTTGGGTGATTTCGTTCTAAATGCTACTTCGATTTTTAAGACTTCATGGCCAGCAGTTCACCACAAACTTAACATTCTAGTTTCATACTTTCTGACACTGTGAAACCACACTGAAGGTATGAATCATTTTATTTCAGGATTGATACCAGTTTCGAATATTTTTCCCGACTCCTGCCTCAGTGACGTAACCAGGGGTGCTACCATTAGTACTAGCGCTTGCTTGCACTCGGTTTCATCAGGAAACAATCCGTTGAATATGAATGTTGAACCTAAATAAGTAACTACAGGAAATAATTGATAAGATGAGCTTCGTAAACCTCCCTCTCCCAAAAAAAAGAAATAGAGAAAGAATGTAGCATGTTAATGTAGCAGAGAAACGAAATCGAGAAAATAAACATAGGCTTTTGCCTGCAAAAGCAGCGTCACCCTTAATCACGTTACCTAGAAAGCAAAGGGAATGCCTGAATTGACGAGTACTCTGGGGATGAAGGTTAAGAGCAAGAATGATTAAAGTCATTTCAGAGCTGTTTGCCCTTTCTTGGAATTGTTTGCCAGCAAGCCTACTCCCTGTGCTGCCTTCTTCTCTAGATTAATAGATTAGAAACCATCAGAACCATAGGACCATCGCGACCTACCGGTTGAGAACCACTGCTGCAGAAGACACTGATAAAGTGTTGAAACAGAAAAAGAGCGCGCTCATAGTGACTAGCAAATTCATCACACCTACCATCAGCTTTCTAACATGGATGCGAGCAGTGGTGATACTTTACAAATGAAAGGAAAATTTTCCTGATGCCCTACGCCGATTCCTTTCATCACAGAGAAAGACGAGTGGAGGTCACCGTATCTGATCGGGAGTGGGAATCTGTCCAGGAGACCGATAGCTTGAAAATACGAGGAATAATCTGACAAGAAAAGTAATACGAGGGCCACTCAATAAGTTATCTACCTGAATATGAAAGGGATGAGCAACAGGCCTGTGCCTGCTGTGACATGTCTCGACAGGTCTCGTGAGTGCCCCACCACTATACCAGCTCAGTGGCTCAAGTCCGTTCAAAGTGGTAGCGCATTAGATTTCTTTTCCTGAGTCTGTGTCATGGATTTGACGAAAGTCGAACATCGTTCAGTGATCAAATTCCTCACCAAAGAAGGGAAAGCACCTAAGGAGATTCATGAACGTATGTCTAACGTTTATGGTGTGTCTTCGCCTTCTTATTACCAAGTTAAATTTTGGAGCAAGCAGTTTAAGTGGGGAAGAGAGTCAATCGAAGATGACCCAAGGTCGGGGCGCCCTGTGGAGGCTTCTGATCAGGAAATGTGTGACAAATTGGAGAGTGCGATACTGGAGGATCGTCGCACCAAAGTCTCTGTTTTAGCTCATGAACTGGGGATTTCAGAGGGCACAGTGATTCACATTATTCATGAAAAATTACACATGTCCAAAGTCAGTTCTCGATGGGTCCCAAGAATGCTGACTCCAGCTCAGAAGAAGAACAGATCTGACATCTGCAAGGAAAACTTGGAGTTTTCTAAACAAATCGGGGAAACTTTTTTTTTCCCAGAATAGTAACTGGTGATGAAACTTGGGTTCATCACTGGGATCCCGAAACCAAGCAGGAGTCCATGCAATGGAAGCACAAGGGATCGCCAACGCCTCGCAAATTTCGTGTTCAGAAATCTGCAGGAAAGATTATGGCCACTGTGTTTTGGGACAGCGAGGGACTACTGCTGCTTGAGTTCATGCCAGACGAGTGTACAATCACTGGCGATTCCTGTGCTACCACCATGAAAAATTTCCATGATGCCATGAAGGAAAAACGCAGAGGAAAGTTGTCAAGGGGGGTCCTTCTTCTCCATGACAACGCGCCCGTCCACAAATCATGGAAAGTTGAGGCAGCAGTGAGGGAGTGGACTTCTATTCTCAGGGAATAAAATCCTTGGAATCAAAGTGGAATAAGTGTGTTGACTTAAAAGGTGACTACATTGAAAAATAAAGTGTTATTTTCCCCCTCGGATGTTTCTTTCTTATTCAGGTAGATAACTTATTGAGTGACCCTCGTACGTGCGTTCGTCCTCTGCTGAGTGCTCGTTTAGAGGAGACATTCTGTACCCAAGGAGAGGAAGCTGAATGCTTCTCACGGGAGCATTCGTTGTGGGCAGGGACGTAGCCAGGGGGGGTGCCCTGGGTATCTGGACACCCCCCGAAAAGAAGCAAGATTTAATGAAACAAGGAGTATGAGAGTGGGGGGGGGGGGCACTTCGTCATCTCATGAGCCTGAAAGAGTCTCACAAGACATCCCCCGAAAATAATTCCTGGCTACGTCCCTGGTTGTGGAGAATGGGATAAAAGAAAATCGAGATTGAAAAGCAGGGAAGAGGGAAAATATCGGCGTCCGATCTTATAAAGTATTGTCCAGACAGAGAAATTGACAGTAATGGTCTGCAATTGCTTTGTGGCCTGTCTGGGTTTCTCTAGCTGGACTCTGTAAAATCCAAACACATCCCAATGTCCTAAGGTAACAGAGTAGATACCCTTCTAACCTGGGCTCTGTCTGGACTCGGGAAAGAAAACATGAAGATGCATAGCTGCCTACACTTATCACCCAGTTCTATATTTGAAAGGGAAACTGGCCTTTCCAAAAAAAAGTTAGTTTTTCAAGCTCTTGAAGGAAAGCGTGAATATTTTATTGCCCGTCTTCTTCAAAGCAAAGAAAAATTGGTATATGTAGATGAACCAATTTTTCACTTACACGAATCCCGCAGATGATCTTCTTCAATGAAAGGGAAAAGGGTCCACAACCAACTATAAGTTTTTGGGATTTTTTTTTCAGATAAACCGATTTACCATTCAGCTCTTCATTTCCTTTCCTCCATAAGCTCCTGTGTGAGGACTGCAGCCTTACAGATTAGCTCAATCACAGGTATCCTTAAAAACCACATTGAAAAGGTGTATTTGGCAAAGCAATACATTAATGGACGTATAAGTGAGGTTATGGTTTTTTATAGTCGTCAATATTTATGCAAATAAAAAATTATCTGATGACAGCACGTGCATGGAATAAAATGCAGGCGAGGGGGGGGGGACGGCATTGGAGACGGCTGTGCTCCAAGACTGACTGTCCCATTGGTTTTGCACTGAACAGAAGGCCTTAGAAAAATGTGGAATCCACGAAAATACAAGAATTCCCTTGCATTCTAGAATTTTATTGCAATTGCTAATGGAAGAATATCCAAAAGCCACTTTAAAAATTAGCGGTTGTTTGAGGAAAGGGTGAATATCACGATTTCTTTGTCTCCCCAGACTCTCCATGATTGCACCGAGTCTCATCTCGATTTGACACAACAGGACGTGAGACTGACAATACGTTCATAAAGAACATGGAGATTTTGCTTCGCCCTGTCCTAATCGTTACTCTTGCATCAAACTGTAAATTCTTTCCTTTATCGAGCCACACAACTGCAACCTCAGACACGCAAAGGGGGACATCGAAAGTTCCAGTCTCCATCAAAGTTCTCATTAATTCTACCCCTCTAATTGACGACACCCAAATAATACTTATGTATGAGTAATTGTTGGTAGCCACAAAAATCCTCTGCCTCTCTCGTACATGCCAGTAGCAATCGCTGTATTGGTTTGCCCAGTAAGAGCACATTAAATTCGTCCGGACTTCTTAACCACCCCGTAAATTGGCCCTTGCGTTCTTCTCATGCCATTCTTCCTGATTGCTGTAAATGAGGACGAGCCTTCAGAAGCAGGAGTCTCTTGTCCAAACAGAGTGGCATCGATTAGATCTAATTGAGTGGATATAAACCGCGAGGAATATATAGCCGAGATGTGTCGATAGCAAAGAGCCGGAAGATAATTCACCCGAGAGTCACCGATTCAAAGGAGGCTTTCTCCTTCTCGATGCCATCGTATTATCCGAGAGGGTCATCCATCACAAGAGCTCTCATCTGGGTTCGTTTGTTTTCCATTCCATGAGACAGCTTCCCGGATTCTCTCCCCATGATTCCCCTCATCGATATCCGATTATGTAGAACTTACTTTTCTCATTTCCGTCGAGAATTTTTCTCCGAATTCCCATGGAACGACATGATCGGAGGAGCCGAAGCAGGCGTGGCCTTTTCCTTCGGGGTTTCTGGGTCCCAGGAAAAAGGGTTTCTTCGACATGCTATCCACGGTCCCTTCCAGCACAGACACCGTGTCATACAACATCGCCGCTTCCGCCTGTCGGTAGAAAGGATATATTTTTATTTTCACAAGAAAATTCTCCGGACTTCGTGATTAGGCAGCACGTGGCCTGATGGAAAACGAAGCTCTTTCCTAGTTTACCCCAAATATCATTTCATGGAACGGGTCGTCTTTGCAACTGCCGATTACATTTTCTCTCCCAACCGTCATACTGGAGACAGCTCTATATAATCTTTCTCATTACTGGACAAGAGTAATTAATTCTGAAGAGAGAGAGGGAGAGGAAGAGGGAGAGAGATATGAAGCTGCTCTATAATTAACAGGCAACCACCACGTTCACAGCTCTTTCAGCTCCACAATGGAAGAAATATGCAAGATATATGCTCCCGAGTTCTACAAATTCTACGGTCTTCTGTCATCAGCTAATATAAGAAGCAAAATATTGTAAATATTTTCCGAAAGAGATTCGAGAGCTTAACATCAATGTTTGAGGGATTAATGGTGTGCGTGAGAGTCTTATCAGCAGCTGAATGGATAAGAAAGAAATGCGTGTGAAAAATACCACCATGGAATGAAAAACCAGACTATAAAAGAAAAACAGAAAAAAGTACATTTTAAAGAGGGAAGAAATGACTGAAAAGAGGCAATGGAGGCCAAGTGATCAGCAGGATCGTCAGGGGACGGTCCCGTTCTTACTCTTAGTGCAGTTAGATCTTGCCCGGAATCTCTCAGACAGAGGAAAAGCTTTAGGTGTTTATGGAGGCATTTGAAGTCTCTCTATGGAGAGATAGGAGAATGACGGCTACGACCACAGCTTTATTTCGTCTCACAGCTACCGCAGATGCATAATCCAATTCTTGGAAGAGCTCCCACTCAAAAAGCCCAGAGGCAGCCAGAGCATTGCTTTCAGAAGAAGCGGATGTGGCTATTCTCATATCGCAAATCAACAGCTCACTCTCCACTACAAAGAAGTTACTCTCAATAGAGATCCGTGCCCGAAAGACCCTTCTACGTCCTTCATAGACTATATTCCACCAAGAACATGAAAATAGGAACACTGGGATTTTATATTGTGCTACAATCCGAGTCTGCGTTTGCCATTACCAGAACCGAGTCTGGACCTGTAAATATTATATGGTCTCCTTTTAGGCTAACAGACTAAAGATGCTCCTTGATGATAGAGATAAAGAAATGTGGATTAAAGTGAAGAGAAAGCTACAGAAGCATGCGGAGTAATTGAAGAGAAAGGCAGTGTACTGAGTAGTGCACAGAGCTGCCCCCCCCCCCCACAGCCTAACCTTAAGAACTCGAAGAAAAAAAAAAAACAGATACACCGTGAGAAAGAGCATTCACTTTCGAACCTAATCATCTGCTTTAGTAATTCGTGTGCCCCCTGTCTGCGTCCCTGACACCTTCAAGACGATCGACGATGGATGAGAAGAGACGCTAAAGAGTTACTAGCCATCTTTCACGTCCTTCAATACTCTGGCGATGTTGCTTTCCAAGATTTCCCAAGAAAATCGATGTTGCTCATCTTTCGTGTTCATGAGAGCCTCAATTCCCTCTCTCAGGATAGCCTCAATGTTCTCAGCCGCATTCAAATCAGGGGAGCTTCCAGGGTATACCTCATTTTCAAAGAAATCGTCTGATCTTTTTCGTAACCCATGAACGGGAAATGAATTCATATCCGCCATCAATGAATTTAATTTCTTTATCATCATTTGACACATGAATATAAAAAAGGAGTTGGATGGAATAAAAAATGGAAAGAGGTTTCTAATTGTATATCTTGCTCTCATAGTTTAGGCTGTCGATGGGGGCGACAGAAAATGTTTGATTAATAAACTTAGGTCCAATGGATACACTGACAGGCACTTGAAGAATCATTTTCGACTCTTTGGGAAAACACAAATAATAAATTTCTCGCATGAATCTAGCAGTCGGTGTACCGGGAACCCATTCCATTTCCTTCCAAATCCCCATTCCAATTAGAATGTTGCGCTTGTTTACAGTACACTGTCCACTGTGCACGTCAGGGGGTAAGGGGGCACGGCCGGCTTCGTGACTCGAACCTCGGTGCAAGTTATAGGGTTTCATCTAACTTGCACCCAGTTAGGTGCACGGAGAGATGGTGGATCGTCGAAAGTAACGGGGAAGTCCTCAGAGCATTGTAGGACCTGAATAGAACCACTAAAGTGCAGTCTCTCGCGTCATGGGATTTTTCAACTCTCTACACGAAGATGCCATTACTGGTCTTGCATAGTTATGTGCCTGAGAGATATCATGAAATGGGGTAACATTGATATCCATTTTCCCCCTCAAAGATTTTCCCCTCTTCCTCCCCCACATAAAGCAAACTCGATAATAAAATTTTAAGTGCGGAAATATGCCTTGAACGTATCATATTGGAACAGGAAAGAGAGCATACTAGACCTGGAACGAAGTAGATATTGTTAATATCATTAACGTCATCAATCGATATACAGGGTGTTCCAAAACAATTTTTGCCTTATTCTAACAACTATGCCACGGAGACGCCTAATTTGTATCTCAAAGCACTGAGAACGCTTGGAGATATGTTCCAGCACTCCATGAATAAATTTTCCCCGAGAAGCAATCACCTCTTGTAAGCCTGTGGTGATGTTGGTCATTACGCGAGGGAACATGTCAGGCAGAGTATCTGCAACTACATTTTTCAAGGCGAATTTTTAATTCTTAATAAGTTCGAAGAACGAGGCCACTCCCTTTCCGGTTCCTCAAAACAGGAAAAATAATTTTTAGGCTGAAATGCGCCAGGGCGGCCGAGCCTCCTTTGACGAAGCCGGTCGATCGCATTCAAAGCCCAGCCTATGGCTTTCGCTATTTCTCCTTTTTAACCTTCTGCGACGAACTCCCTTGTCTCTGGTCTTTTGGCAATGGCATGAAAATATTTGTTGGGATCTTTGTGATTGCCACTGTTGCGTTCTGATATGGTGTGATGTTCACTGTTCCATATAGAAATCATTTCATTATATTTTTATTCATATGTAATTTCATCGTTATTTAATTCTCGGCTGGGCATATTCCTCGTCAGGGAAACCAATTTCCCTGACGAGAGTCAGGGAAATTGGTTTCCCTGACGATATTCAGTGCGAGTCGTTCCCAATTCGGCTTCAGTCGTTTCGATCCCCGCATTGCTCTTCCCGGCATTCGCTGTCTCCATTCAATTTCGGTGCGAGTACTTTGAATTTCGGCCGCACTGGGGAATCTCCTGATCTGGTGACTGAGCACGGTAGGCAGAGAATGCATGATGAATGTTCCCATTTTAGGAGTTGGGGTCTGGAAATGGAGATTGTCATCTATGCATGACATGCCTTCGTCGACATCACTGTCCAGATTTTTCCGCCTTTCATGAAGGGCTGCAGGGAAAATTGACCTACCCGGGGGAAAAAAGTCTCATGAATTTCGAGGATAAAAGGGGTGTACTCGTATGTGCATCGACCTGTTTTCCGTTTTTGGATCATTCTTCCAAATAAGCCAGTTTCCATTTTGAACCCCTCAATCATTCCCGCATAGTAATATTGAATGAGGATATAAAAGCAATTCTAGCTGTCAGTAAGTTCAGTATTTTAGGCGTCAGTATCCTTGGACCTCATGGCGAAGCCATGGCACATCTGTGGGACTCCTTAAAGAACTTCCGAAACGTCAGAGAAGAGACTCATTTCAGCTCGGTAGCAATCCCATTTACAGAGACTTGGCACGAGTGCATCATGTTTTAGCGCACCGACCTTGGCGTTGTCTTGCTGTGTCTGTGAGTGAACCGTGAAACGCGGCTTATTCTCAACCGGGTGCCTAGCTCATATGGGAGCAGTCATATATGAGCAAAATCATAGCGTGTGATGGGGCCTTAAAGCAGCGAGTTCCAAGGGAGGGACATCCGCATGTTTACTTCACTCTAGTGGAAAATCCGTAGCACTGGCAGTATTTAATGCCACGCCATCGTTGATTTGGCCTGCCGAAATCTAAAGAAACTCTGCCAAAGATACAACTGCCGAAATTGAAATGGAAACTCGGGCACTAGGATATTTGCTGCCGAATTTAAAACGATCGCGACCGACTTTCATTGGACTTCAGCCGAATATCGTCCAGAAAACCTATATTATTCTTTCTAAGAATTTAATTTAATACTGCATGGAATATTGCATGCATTGTCAGCCCCAATTCAATTGGAATGAGGAATACTTCAGAATTCTTCTTACGATTCCCGACACCTGGGGCTGACCGCAGAAACAGGATGAGTTAGCTGTTGATCCAGCGTCGGTCGAACAGTATCAACAACTTTGCCTGGAGCTTCGGTATGATTTAATTTTTCAACTTTCTTTCCACGTACCCCCGATCTGCCTCGCATTTTACAAAAGTTTGATTGCACGCGTTTGAGGTCTTCAACAGGAGCTCTGGGCCCTTAAAAAACGTCCACCTTCCATGTGGATTAGGAACCAGGTGGATTGGAAATACCCTAGGCGGTATTTTCACCTGTTGGAACGATGTCCACCCGGGGAAAATCCACCCAGGAGGGAAAATCCACCTGGCTCGAAATACATTTACGCGAATGGATAGGTGGATTTCCATCGGAAGGGGGGGGGGGGGTCCACCTGGTTCCAATTCCACCCCCTATCCACCAGGTTATTTGACCAGGTGGATAGGGGGTCATGGCTGATTGACATGAAGCATTACCACCCAAGAGTTATTCAGTTTACGTACAGTGAGGCATAAAGAACCACTGATTTGAATCGTTTTTAACCATTTAAGCTAATTTTTGGTCCACCTCTCCTCATCTTCCTCGATGAACCAGTTTCTCGCAGCTTGTGAATCAATGTGTTAGCGGTACATTTATTCCATTCTTGGCAGAGAATTCCGGCACAATTCTTGCCTCGCCTCATCCTTTCTCAAAATTACAGGCTTTAATAACTGCTCCGTATTCTTCGGAGAGCACCATTTTCACAGACAGTTTGAGAAGCAATGGCCCGAAAATGAAGCGAATTACGCACAACAACTACTTTCCCGTCCAGACATTCCCTCGCACAAAAATTAAATTCGAGTCGCTCGTGTGGTAGAATGGATGGAGAGAAACGGACAACAATTTTGTGATGTATTTAGAAAAGAGGGAGGTAATTATTAAATGCAAATTGTTGTGCTATCTTCTTTATCATAAACGTCTCAGAATTTCAGAGTCAAAGAGCGGCGTATTTATTATGCCTCACCCGGATATATTAATTAACACGAAAAATTTGTCAAGGCAAGGTTGCTGAGGACGCAGGGGAACGTGAATGGCATGATAGATTCCCACGGGAATTGGATGATAATGAAATGAATGAATTAAGCGAAAGGGTGGGAAAAAGGAGACGGAGAAACGTTGATTTCATTAAGTCCATGCAAGATATTGATCCAGATATTAAGGAATCACGTCGACAGCATGACGCATCGTCTCCATTTCGCATTTTCGAGGCTCGACCGAGCGCGTCTAACTAAAAAGGCATCGAGACTGACAATTTCCGAGGAAATTTAAAAAGCAAAAGGTGCTTGAAATTCGAGTGGAGCATCTCATAATTGACTTCATGGATGACATGCGAGGCTCATTTTCACAGGATCCATTAGGAATACTCTTTCTCATGATCTTTTAATGAGAGGAAAGTAGGGAGACGAGCCATTTCCCCCCATTCGGTTGTCTTCTGCATACTCCATTTCACCATTCTCATTCCCCTTGTTTTCTTTCTTCCCTTCTTTCTTCTATTTCTTTCCCTCTTTGCGGGGTCATCTCTCACTGCCACGCTCACATGCTTGTCTGGCCGTTCTCTTTTGTCAACATGTTTCCTTTTCCGGCATTCACCATTCCTCAACATGAAATTCTCCCAACTTTCTTCTCTTGAACCGAAAAAATGCTAGAATCGCACAGAGACTGCATGGAAACAAAGACGTTGATGAACGACACGTTCTGGAAGAACAAGAACACCTATAAAAGATGATGATAATGGTCGGGGGTCGCGTGAGCAGATAAGTGCATAAATGTGCTTCTAGGAATATTGGAGGCTATTATTATATGAGAGAGAGGATATACATGATGAATGGATTGAAGTGAGGGATTGGGGAAGGCGGGGCTCTGAAAAATGATCCTAAAGGGGGAGATTGAAGAAGTGATCGCATAATATCATGATCCCCTTCCCATCATCATGGCCCATTAAAGGGGAAACCCAAACAGAAAGAGGAGACCGAGTGTAATCCCGAGGCTTTGATGCAGTCACCTTTGTTGATCCGCCGCTGTTTAAACATTCTCGGCCGTTCTTTATAAGGTCGAGAATCCCTTTGCACCGGCTCCTTTCCTTCCTCAGCTGAATCATTAATGAATCCTACAGGCCAGCCGAGTCGATCGCGTGGGGGCCTGGAAAAGAGGTGGGAAAGAAATGAGACTCACAGAAATGGATTGCATGCCGATGTTGGCGATGACCTTCCGCCAATCCTCGTTCTCTAAAAGCCTCTGGACTTTCTCCGAGTCCACCAGTTTGAACCCGGTGATGTTCAGGGCTCCAAACTCTTTCACTTCCGAATCCCATGGATCATCCATCACCTGCAAGCGCGAAAGAAACTTCTATTTTCGTTTTCTCAATCTTTTAAGGAGGACGCTTGGGACGCCTTCTTTCCCCTCCCCTTCTACAGTCTTCGTTGAAAGAGGGGGCCGGACAGGTGAAAAGACCTCATTTTCTGCGTTCTTCCCAGGAGAAAACAGGAGTTCGATCGAAGGGGAAGGGCTAAATTTAGGAGGGTTGCCTCCCGAGCATACAGGTAAGAGCACGAAGCACATTATGGGCGAGTGTTTCCCCCTTCCCTCGCCCTAATTATTTCCCAAGTAATTCAATCACATGGACTCACCAAACCACTGAGAAGATAATGGTAATTCCTCCGACCCAGGCTGATGTCCCTCACGTGTTGAATGATGAGCTGCCTTGCCTTCTCTGCTGAACTGTCCAATACTACGTACTTCCTGCTCTCCCTGTGCATTCAAATAAATCAAGTCCATGTTATCTCTAGGGTAAAAATCTAGAAAGTTTAGTCCTTCCCTATACGGCTTCCAACCATCGCAGCTTATATACTCGCATGGGCATTGATTTCATATTTGGCACACTTCCTTTACTCGTCCATATCTCTAAGCGCTCCACGTTTCATCCTTGAAATTGCATTAATCTGTGAGGTCTGAAAGTATGTGCTTGCGGTTCTTCTTCAAGTTTTTATGCTTGTTCCTTACTTTGACTCGTCACCCTCAGAGGGTTTACCTCTTGGAGACTCAAGTACTCATGAATTAACGCGCTGAAACCAACCCAGTATCCAAAGCACAACAAACCAATAACGACTGAGCCGATTCTGAAAAATTCAGTGCCAATAGATGATGCATTCATCTTAATCTGAGCTTGGGTGTTTTGGTACTGAGTTCTCAGGTACTGAGTTCCTAGTAATTCAGTATGAATGCACAAAGGCGTGCCTTTTAGGCGACTACGATTACGATCTACGACTGGCTTGAAAGAAAACTCGTTCAATAACGATGTATGTCGTTCCGCATGAGGCAGTGAGAATTTCTCACTTTCTCACAAAGAATCGAAATCGGTCCTGGAGCAACTCTGCTCTCGCTAGCTTTCTTGCTTTTGCCTTCCTCTTCACGTTTTACACGATCACGAGATTCTATTTTCATTGCTATTTGGAGGAAATTATCGCAAATCTGCCTCATCCGAAATGGGGTAACGAATCGTGAGATCATGCTTCAAAAGACAAGGAGATTAGGCTTCGCGGTGCAAGAATCCCATGCCAAGGCACCCGGCATTGAAAAGCTTCCTCTACCATCCCTGAGAAACGATTCTTCACTTGGATCTCCCTTGTCATTTATGCAGTTGTCACTATACTGTACATATACTATACATATGAAAGAGATGAAAGTGGAAACTGTCTCTTTTCTGTCTTTTCCGTTCAAGCTCGACTTGAAGCTGGCATGTGAAAGTATGATGGCAGTTTTCGGCCATATTCATGAACGTGTCTAAAACCGAAGTTATACCTAAATCCAGTGAAGAGAGCTATATCTATACCACAAGCGTGTTTGTCTGTAAATGCGAAGGGCTTGAACTCTCTCGAAGAATCCTGAGGCCTCTCTCTAAATTTTCCCTAATCAAGCCGTGGTAAATTCATACTCTCTGAGGTCGGTGACACTTAGAACTGAAGAAATTAGAAACTGAACTAATCAAGTCAAAATGAAGCTGAAACAGTTTTTTCAAATTTCCATGCAGAAGGCATGAGTAAGTCGTTTTCTGAGATAATGAATAGTATGAGCAAATAGTTATTTCCTAATTGTTTTCTATTGCATGAGGTGATAGTGCTACGAACATTTGTTACAATCTCAAGAACTAACCAGATATTTTTTATTTTCGGTACTCCCTCAAAAAACGTCCAAATGCCAAGTGATTTGGAATCTGGTGGATGCTCCCTTAGGCGTATTTCCTCCTGTCGGAGGGATGTTCACCTAGTTAAAAATCCACCCGGGGAGGAACAACTACCTGGCTTGAGAAACACATGCGCGAATGTCCAGGTGGATTTCCACCGGGTGGGACATCCACCTGGTTCCAAACCCACCTCCCATCCACCTGGTCATTCAGCCATGTGGATACAGGTGAGCGTTTTGTTAACGCTGAACTCGTTCCGAACGAGCATCTAAGATAAAGGAAGTATCTGCAATTTCTATTGCATACAATTGGTCTGATCCATATTCTCTGAAATAGTTGTCAATGAAACAGTTCCTTTTCGTCGTACTTTACAGTACAACGAAAGTATCAGTGTCAGTGTCGTACCTTCCCCTCATCATCGTCGAATGAAATCCGACAAAGAAACGCTTCTCTGGGATAGCAGATTGTGCTTTGGAATGCTTCATGTCCTTGCAGTCGATTCACGCTCTAAAGTCTAGCTTCCTTGCCCTTGAGAACGCCAGCCTTTCCAGTCCTTCTTCAATTTGTACCAAAGGGTTTGAACGTATTTTTTTTAAGTATATTTTTCTTTCAACATTTGAGGCCAGTCGATTCCCAGGGTCCAGATATATGGACATGGGAAACGCTCCCACTAGATGGAATTATTATCAATCCTGAGGCAGAGCAAACGGGCCATTTAAAGCAAGGTCTTATGAGCGACTCAGCACTTTGGGAAGGTCATTTTGACGCACTGTGAGGCTCCTATAGAGAAATCCGTGTCCATGTTTCTACTCATGGAGATAGTAATGCTGTGCTTAATTGGACTGGGTATCTGCATAGGGTGCGAGTCACTTTCAAAATGTTTGACTTGCCTCAAATGTGACGGTGAGGTTCAGTAATTGTGCATCAAGTACCCCATTTTTTACGTTCTGCTTGGTATGTAAATGCTTTGAAATAACTCTTTCGCAGAAACATTGACCTGAAACTTAGAGCGGTGTGATAGTTTCCATTCTCCCACCACAAGGCTGTATTCACACATGAGAATAGCAAGTGAAGAAGGAAACCGGTCTTCTATTGATCCCCATTACTTCCCAAATCATTCTCCACGCATGTCTACTAATACAAGGTGAGCACCGTCTATTATAAATACTCTTTTTAAGGAATAAGCCGAATGCGAGCCCAAGCTGATTTGATTCGTTGAAATTTGGATAGGAGGGGGTAGGAGGGCTATTATTATAATTGAAGGATCGAGGAACCCAGAAAGTGATGGCAATTGTACACCATACCGTCAAAAATCTGAAATCGGTATGCGAGGTCTCGGTGTCCTCCACGGGTATGACCAATCCCTTGATATTTCATTACCAGAAGTAATCATGTTGCGAGAAAGGAAGGAAATGGAGGGAGGGCGAAAAGAAGAAAGACTGAAGCCGATAGAGAAGGACCGCGGGAGGTGGATGGAAGGTGTGAGCCCAAATGCACCGTCTCTTTCAAGGAAGAGAAAATGAAGATGAATGAGACCCTCCAGCCAGACTCCTTCCCATCCTTTGCTTTCCTTTCCTTTACTTTCCCATCCCACCTTCCTTCCTTCCCTTCCTTATCCTCGCACTGGGACTTCAAACTACATTATACCGCACTGCTACTCCAGTGCGCCTTCCCGTCCTTCTAAATGCTACAGGTCCTTATGGCCTGACGCTACTCTTCTCGATTTTGCAGATGGCAAGATATGATCCCCTCTGAAGGGCCTGTCCACAAGATCAATACTCCGTCCAGTAGCGAGATCCTCTTGAATGCAACGCATAGATAATGCAGGCAGATTAAGTCGGATATGAGGAATGAAGAAGGGGAGGAACGGAATGGCAAGAAAGGCATCAGTACGCTGGGGTTCTGGTGGCATTGGGAGTCTTGATCGAAAGGAGGCACCAAGGACTGAAATGATTTTTAAATGCCTTCCGAAGGCAGATTACGAAGGCATACTGTATTCGTTGTTATAAAGAACCAGCCCAACTTTCCTTGGTCATAAGCGCCGGAATGCCGGATGCAGATTATATTCAACAGAGAAGTTCTGGGCTTAAAATTGGGGGTCTTTCTCCATGATCGCCGGTTGGCAGTGTGTTGGGATCGCATAAGCATTGAAGAAAGGGTGTAAATGATGGGAATAGGGCACCAAGTGCTAAAATATGGCCAACCATTTCCACGCTGCATAGAGCCTGTGAAGAACATGAGTGAATGCTGCGCGGATTACAATCTCTAGGGTGGCAGCAATCTAATGTCTTATGGGCAGGAATTAATAACAAATAACTGCCGTTTCTGCATTTCCATTATGATAATACAATAATATTAATGCGATTTGTCGCTGCACTGGGCGATTAAGCATGTTGCCTTGAGTGCTGTGAATGTCACAAGTAATTCAATCAGTACACCTCTTCTTCAATGTTCACCTTCGCATATGCGACCACAGTGTCCCCTATTGACGTACTATCTTTTGAGCACGGTAAGAAAACTTTTAGGCCTGTCAACCTTTGTCAAATATCAGCTATAACTGACAGTCATCCCTCGAAAAGTCATGACCTAAGTTGGGTGCTTTCTTTATAACAACATGGTACCTTACGCATACGAGGAATCTTGAACGAGAACTCAATTTGGAAACTTAGTAGAAACTTTTGATCGTATGCAGCAGCTCCGGGATATCCTTAGCGAAAATTCTGCAAGCTTAATTCGCAAGGAGAATCTGGTGACAGCTGTTCTGCATCGTTATTAGCCTATCGGAAGTTTCAGGATTGACGGTTTCTATTCCTATCTACTTTTAAGAGATGTTCTGGAAAGAATCAACTAAGAGGAGAACATACCGATTATTGCCTTCGAGGGATCGGAGGAAGTCCAGAGTCTCATTGACACTCTGGATGCGTTTCACAATGCTCACGGTGATCCTTTGACTCGTATTGAGATGCTCCAGTTCCCCGAACATCTGTTGCAGTCTCAAAAGCCCTGGAAAAAACGGAGAGAATAAAATCCATTCATGCCAGGCTGCATTCGAGCTGCAGCTGATCTCAGCGTGAATGCAGAAAAAAAGTTTCTTGTCCTTCCTCCCTCTTCCTTTCCACATAATAATAATGGAAGGTCATGATGGTGATGGATGATAACGGGAGAAGGCTGATCGTGACGAATGATCCTTCATCAGATTCTTCCATTCCTCATACAAACGCATACCCATATGGGACACTCTTCTTTCGCTACTCTTATTCTATGCCCTCTCCCTGCTCCACCTGTGGACTGTGGATTGTATCAAGTGGATCCACGTGACATATTCCCTTGTTCTCGGCACTGTTCATGTGCCATCCTTGTTTCCAAGAAACACTCATATATCATTTCCTCCATCCTTTTCCCGCCATTTTGAAGAAGAGAACGAAGCATTGCCACGAGTGGTTAGCATGAGATCAGCACGCCCACATGATTTTCAACATAATCCCCTCAGGTCCTTTCGTTTTTCACCTGCTCGATTAGGGTTTCGAGGTAATAATGCAGTAGATTGAGGAGTTCTCTCATGGTAGAATTGGATTAGGATGTAATTCAGCTTCTCCAATTACTACTGTAATTGAATGTTGCTTTTTGTAGAGGAGCATAGAAGCATACTTCATGGCTAGATAATTTCCGGAAAAAGCACGGAGCAACGGAAATTGAGTACAGAGGTTGTGTAGGTTGGCCAGGGATGCATACAGAATGTCGTCTATGCAAGACAAAAAAAGGAAGCCATACTTACTATAAAAAAGGAAGCCTTTCCATACAATCAATCTTTCAAGAGCGCATACTTCGTCACGAATTCTGCTTCTCCCTCCTCTCTCTCTCCCTGATTTTCCCCTTCCTTCCTGCTGAGGCTGTCGATTGTGCATTTAAAAAAGAAATTTCAGAGGAATTCTACCAAAAGAGACTACGTATCATCCGAACAATCTGTGATCATGAGATTTCAAAGAAAGAGTTGAAGTTCAGTTTCTGTAGGGAAAAGTTACTAAGTAGATACGAGAGAATTCATAGCCCTTTTTTATCGCACGACGCTTACAACATGCAGGGAGTTTCTTGATACTGAAAAAAATGAGTATGGGCCACGACAGGGCATTGGTTTTTTCTTTCTCTTCAGGTTGTCAACAACTGTGAGGAAGCTAAGACTGCATTGTGGGAGAGGAAGTACGAGGGGTACCAATAAGTTCTAGGCTTGACCAAGATGCGATATTTTATCAACAGTAGTTTTATTGTTATTTCCACCTTTAATAACAATGCACTTCTTCCATCGTCACTATATCATCTTTTCCCCAGTCTTAAACACATTAATTTAAGCAATCCTGAGAATTACCGCTAAATTTCTCGTTTCATTGCATTATTGCTTTGAAATCTCTTTTCACGCAGATGTACCCTGAAGTATCGAAACCCGTGAATGTCATTGGGAGCCAAGCAGGATGAATAAGGGGGAGGGAGGGGGAGTGCAGAAACTGTTTGAATTCAGCGTCATGGAGGGGAACGTGTGAAATATCGGCTGTGTGCAGGCGAATAGTAATGGTAAATGAGGACCCCTTTCGGTAATTTTCCGCGACATTTCTTCTCGGACACTCGTAATCTCCCTGATCTTGTACACCCATACCGTACCGTAGTGGTACTCGTAGCATTGTACCGACCCGTGATCCTTCTGTTAGGGGCATGTAATCGATGTGAAAGACTCCCATCACGTCCCTGAAAATTGTCCCATTACTTTTCCAGCCAAGGTCTGAGTCTGAAACGGCGGAGAATCCTTGTACCTTCCTCCGCATCGATTGCTGCTTGTATTCAGAGTCCCAATGGCGAGGCCACGTTTCATCTCCAACGACTAACCATGAACATAAGTCCATTCGGTTGGGTTGAAACGGTTACAATTTTCTTGACTCCTAATGACCCACCATGTCATAAGAGTAATGACGACATTCGAGAAACCTAGCGGCCACAGACCTTAAACAGTCCCTCATGCAAACGGTTCGAACACGACCCTTTTAAATTCCCAAGGGCTGCACTATTTCTCTCGTTTTGAATCGCGTGTCTTCCATGAATATGTTTTATTCGATGCTGGAAGTTTCTGCTGTCGCCAAATCGAAAGGTCGACCCAGGCAGGGACTCTTTCTCGATTGAATTTCTTCCTCATTAAAGCTCAGCTGCCCACTTCTTTAATGTGCTGTAGGAGGTGAATTTCCTTTATAAACGTTCAGCAAGCTCATATAAGTATCCTGCGGTGACAGGCCTTCCTTTGATGAAATCTATTCTTGTAGATTGGGGCTCAACCTTTTTCAAATGCGCGAAAATAAAATCCCACAACAAAATAGCAATTCGTCAGAATACCTGTGCTTCTAACTTCACAGCAGAACAGTGCACTGGAGGTACCACTAGCCTACACGGCTGTACTTGGAATATCAATACCCTATTTTAGCCAGAGCGAGAGCTTATTGGGCACCTCTCTTATTAGCTGCCTTAAAAGAGGGACTGCATTTCTATCATTTCAGGAACAGTGAAATCAGGATCAGTGAAAGGCTGACAGGCAGACAGACAGGATCCCAAACCCGAGGTCGTAGAGGGAAATAAGGACCTCGAGGTGACTTTTATGAGGTTCTTTCCTCTGGGAAATCTTGGCACGCACGGCCTTTGGAGACGACTTCATCTCCACATGTGGAAGGACATGGATCATTCTTTCTAATCTAGTGGATAAATGCAGGATGTGGCAATGTGCACGACAATACTCTATGACTCCTCTATAGAAAAGAGGACATAAAGAAGTTCCGACCGAAGAGAAGGACGGGGTTATTGAAGGAGCACAGGGGGTGGGGAGGAGGGGGATGAGAAAAGCCACTCCGACCCCCAACGGAGTTCTGGTCCTCATCTTTATAAGGGCTCCTCAAAACACCGTATCCGAACCAGGCATGTTGCATCTATGCATGCCTCCATGGGGAAACCTTTCTACAAGCTAGATCTTGAGGCCAACACATGCACGCTCAGGCATGGCACCAAGTGCATGATCGAGCATGACAGGAATCTGACGCAAACAAGTTCAGCATACAATCCATATCAAAAACCCATATTTTTAAAACCAAAACTGGAAAAAAATTCAATGGAAACGCATAGCTAATGGCAAAATGAACTGCACAGCTGCCCGCACAGACCTGGCTCGTTGAAGTGGCTGGTTTAATGATTGCCTGTTTCTTTGAGTGTCTGCCCGTCTCATCGCATCTTTGAGAGATGTGGGCAAAATCCCTTCCTCTGTTGAGAAAAGTGTTGATTACGCACTAAGAGCAATGAATGGATCGACTTGGAAAGACCTTAGCCAAATTAACTTCGTTGGGATGAAGTGAGCGGGGCTTTATTACAGTTAACTTTATTACATGCGGCCCCCTAAAGGAAGGCTTATGTTATAACATGCTGATGTGTGAAACCAACTCGTCCTTGCGGGTGTTTGCCACCTCTAACCCATGGAAGAGCTCAGAGAAAATCTAACGAGGTCTCCGTGCACGATCCATTGCTTTCCAGAGCCTTTGAAGGTCTTAAGGGGAGGAATGGATTGTAGGATACAAATCGAGGACTCTTCACAGAAGACTTAGCAAAGGAAGATCTCATTTCATTCTAATGCTTGCTTCCTATGTGTCAGCTCAATGTCCTCCCTTCTCATTCTCAACGGAATAAAATCAGATCAGATTACGACAATGACAGGAATTCCATTCCCGTCACGTCAATCAGACGCAAACTTTGATGCGCATTTAACTTTAGGATATGTGCGCATATTCCTTAGCTTTTCTTCCTGCATTATGCGCAGATGAAGGATGGCCTGGACCTTCCGACATGGATCTTTCCAACAGCACAGAATTCGTCGTGATTGGTGCTCAGAATTTTTAGCATTGGACGAGGAAAGACGTTTACTCCAGAAGTTTGGGAGAGTACGCTCAGTTTTTCGTCAAATGGTTTAGTTATGTCCCCCACTGCGCCTAAGATAGGAACAATTTCCATGGATTGACGTCGTCAATCGCCAGGCTGAATGTTAATCACATTTACGTTTCCACGTTTCCTTGTTCTTCATTTTGTGATATCACTGTGTAAAATAAAGTGCAATCAGCTAAACTTAATGATAGTTGTATTTTCAGCGGATATCAGTAAATATATGGAAAAACAAAGGAGAAATTGTGCATAATTCTGATCGGTTGAGAAAAGTTATAATTTACGGGAGCATGAAAGGAAGCTGACAGTCATATTGGAAGCATATTAGAAATGGTATGTACTTTTGGCTCCGATATCATGGACTAGATCACAAACCCAAGCAACAAGGTAATGCTTTCTACAGGTTACATACCTCAAAGAAAAGGAAAAACTTACTTGAAAGAAAGCCAATGGTCTTCACGAGGGATCATTGTCCCAGAAAGTTTGCCCTATTTTCCAAATGATTAAGCAGTGCAGCAGAGATAAGGAATGCTTGGCTGTCATCAAAACTCTCATACAATTAATGAACACAAACATTCCAGAAAAACGGGTTCAATGAGACAGTCGTCTCAGAGGACTAAAAAACCTAATATCGGGTTTCGGGCCTAAAACTTGATTTACTGACAGAAATCATGATGAGAAACACGTAAGGGTTCCCGAGAGAAAAAATATTTGAAAGCGAAATGCCCACTTCCTGATGTTCTCTGAACTATGCTCCGGTTGGAAATGATGGGCAAATCTTTTGGTTTATGGCAGACGACAGGCGTGATTCTTCTCATTTCTCTCTACCAATAGAATGGCAGCAGCCAAAAGGGTCTCAACAATGATACATTTTCATCGATTTTTTTACAGAAGTCTGTACCAAATGACTTCCTCTGGGCAACCGGAGTTACTTTCCTGAAGGATGTGACTTTTTTATGGAATAAAATTGTAGCATATAAATTTAACTGGCTGAGGAATATGGCAGCTTCGGGTGGAGAGCAGGTATGACATGAAACTCCGCGATAGATCTGGCTCCGCTTCTCGTATTTCCCTTTCTCTTTCAAAGATGATTAACCACTACGTGTCGCATCAACCTATCTTGGTAATCACAAGTGAAAAGGATGGTTTTACCATCCCCGCCGCGCTCAAGTGACGGCGAAATGAGCTTCATTGACTTAATCAGCACTTTTTCCGACATTTTCCCTGCGTCCCCGCAGGGTTGCCTGAATGTAGTCAAATAGTTGATAAGCTTCTCATTGACTAGAAAACGTGATAAGACTGGCAGTCGATTGTCGATAACAATAACATATGGTTTTTCTTCGAAGCCATGACCTTTCAATGGTACTTTCAGTCACAGATAATGCAGATGGTTTTGTGTTCGGGTAAACCCACATATGAGATGAACCAGTCTGCACAATGATATTGACTTAACGTTACAAAAGTATTTAAGTTTCAATATCCATCATGTTGCATTAATGTTGTTGATACGATGCTGCTAGGCTGAATCATCATTGGATTAATATTTAAATGAGACAGATCTCAATAATGCTCGGCATTGAATTTGTGCTGGCTAAGAGTTTGATACCATGTCAATATAATATTAAAATGTTCTCAGTACAATGATATGCTAAAGTGAATCATAATTTTGATATGCAGTTGATGCAAGAAAGAGCTGAATATTATGGGACGGTCATGTCCTGTCCATGGGGTCGGGATCTTCAGGTGAACCCTTCTGTCTTCATCCACAGGGCCATCAGGAGTTTCGTTGAGTTTGGTTGCTTCTTTCGTATAATGTGTTTGAGAAAATTCCAATGATTTCCCTTTTGTTGCCTGTGGGGAAAAAGATCAAGCCTCGCTCGAAAAATACTGAGAACTTATGTCAGTTGCATACACGGAGTAACTCGCTGTATTGGCAACTATATCGCCATTAGGCTTCGATTCTATGAACCTAGTTTGTTCGAATAACTACCAGATGGTTCGCTTGAAATCATGTCGATGCAACATTAACAGGACACTGAATGCTCAACTGAAGCGCAGCAAGGATTCTATTTTCCTGTAACATTTAGATTTGTCTCATTTTCAACATCGAGTCAATGTTGACCACGCATTCCTCCATCAACATCAACATCCATCAACATCGTCAACCAATTATCAACATTGAGTCAATGTAGTTGTGCAGGCTGGGGAATGAGTGTTACTTCTCTCATTCTGCTCTTGCGCTGTCTTTTTTTTTACATCCTGCAATAAGTCGCCCTTAGATGGTAATGATTGCGTCGTCATTGAGGAGAGGGAAGGCGGGTGTGGTTTTCGTGGCTTGCATACTCAAAGGGAGAGACGGCATCCAGGAGAGGGTTCTTAAGGGAACCGTTTCTGTAGAGGATGCTGCATAAATTATATCCCATTCCCCAAGTGCCCAAAGGAAAGGCACTGAATGAGGCTTGTAAGCTTGAATTACCTCATCTGCAGTTGCTTTTCCATAATTTCTTTTACTTTGAATTCACTCGAATAAATTAGGTTCGTAGACAAAGTCAAAACCATCGCTTCCTTAAGGAATGAAGTCCCCTCGTGATTTGCAGGATAGGGGGAAAAAAGTTACCCTATTTCATTTGATTGCCATATCTACAATAATTCAGATGCGCTCATACAGTTTGGAGAATGAATCCCTGATCACATGCAACTTATTTCAAGCGAATACAAAAAATTATTCCACTACTCTTCCCAGCAAACAATTAGCAAATCACAGATGCGGATTTTTTTTTTTTCTCAAAATGCTCGGATCCTTAACTTTTCAATGACGAATTCTTCATAAGCTTAAATGGCAAAAATGATAAAGTTAGGATCTAAATTGCTCATAATTATTTAAAGTGATGTGTATCGAGCCGCCCTGCTTCGACAACCGCAATCAGCCCAGTTCAGTACAGCTCGATCATTCCAAGCCATTCCATTCCAAGGAAGGATGTTGCAGCATCTGGCATGTTATAGTAAATAATGCGTAAGTGCAATTTTTCTTTTACTTCGCACAGTGAAAATGAAGTGTAAAAAGTATTTGTCGTATTTTCTTGAGATAACTTTCATTCGATCAGGAAAGAGTAGTACTATTCATAGAACAAACGGCATGAGCGTGTCTTAATTAAGACGGATGCAGGAATCAAAATGAAATGTGTGAACTTCATATTGCCCACCCTGCGATATTTCGGAAGTCACTAGAAGCTGACAGCAGACTTCGAGGAGGAAAAGATTGTGATGAATGCTTGATCGTGGAAAGAGAGATTCGGTTCTTCTCTCTTGCTATCTCAGTATGACTCTGGCCTCGTTGAAAATGAAATTGCTTCTCAGATGTGCATATGCACTCCCAGCAAACTGGTACAATCTATCACGTACTTGACACTCTAGTTGATGATCTTGTCTCAGCAGTGAATTTTCCCAGTCCTCACAAAGGAACAAGAGGCGTGGAAGAACTTGCTCGCAACTTGATCTGATGCTTCCTTGACAATACGTGATATTAATGGAAAGGGGCCAATTAAACAACAATTAAACACCCGGCACGTGTCACCCGTAGTACGAAGCAAATGGCTTTCACCATTACATTTGTCGATGAAGGAATTCCAATTCCATAACCCTGAGATGCTACGGAAGCTTCCTGCATCTACCAACTTAGTTCCCCACGAACCAGGATTCTTTGTCCTTTTTGGCAGGCTAAGACCCGATGATAATTATCTTCATTTCCCCCTTCTCACGAGCCCCAAGATACGGATTTTTTTCCCTCCTCGGCCAGGCTTAGATCCGATTACGATACCCCCTCTCGACATTTTCTCGGCTAGCCCACATTCACCCATCTCCTTGTTTTATTCAACTCACTCCTCTCGTTATGTATTTTGCTCGACTGTCAGATCCTTAACGGCGAGAAATAAACTTTCTATTATTCCTTCATTTAATCCATGCAACTGTTAAAGAATCGATCTAATCACACGGCGTACTAATA